AGAAACATTAAACTCACTGACTCGTGGACAAAAGCTGAGAGATGTGTGTGTGTGTGTGTGGGTGTGTGCCCAATATTTTTTTGGGCTCTTTTATTTTCCATTTGTATATTTGTGGCTGTTTGTGTTTTATTAAAGATTCTTTATCTTTTAATCTCTGCGTGTGCGTGTATGCATAGCTGTTTGCTATGTTCTGCTCCATGCTGAAAGAGAGTTCAGTTGTCCTTTAGATCAAGGTCAACGAGCTGTGCCCTATCTTATTGGTTCATCTATTAGCTGTTAACTGGTGGGTCTATGGATGGATGGAGTAAAAGCTTTGACCCCATGTTAAGCACAGTCACCTACAGGGGAAAGTAACCGTCAAGATGGAATTGAGTACAGCTTACTGATTACCTTTTTAAAATTGTAATTGGTCCACTAATCTGTTGGATGGGTGTGTTTAATTAACAGTCAGGAGTCTTAACTCTTTCAGACTACAACATCCAATATTTCTATTCTCAGATCTATCAGTGTATCCATTTCTAAGGGTTCGTTTAAGCCTGAATGAATGCAGAGGCCACCAACAGTAATCAACCAAAGACCAAAGTGATTTTGGGAATTTATCAAGTTTTAAAACTGACAGCAATCTATAGTTTTCATCTGATGTCCGAGCTACCGGGACATACCCACCTGGTGGGCAAAAACAGTACTGAGGTCTTCTGCTCTGCTATCGGGTACAATAATCACCGGGTACACTAATCTTTGAGATTATGGCACCAACATGTGATCACGCCTCTCCTAACCCTGCCTCCCAGTCCCTGCTTCTCCGCAGAAACCCAGACTGTCCGTGTCGGCTCATTTCAGCTGTAGATCAGCTTTTTGTAATGACACAATTTATGTGACAAATTAATTAGAATACCAAAATTTTTCTGGTGTTACATTGTAAAACTCATTGCAAAATGTCTCTTCATATCTTCACTTTTCTCCCATTGATAGATTATCTAAGTAGTCTTGGCCCAACACAGGTAAACAAAACAACACTTTTGTCCTGCAGTAATACCAACGTCCAGCGTCGGACATCAGGATGGAGTAACGTGTTTTGCCTGCTAGGTTAGTAAGTTAATCACTACCATTTTTTTTGTTTTTGAAAATTTCCTTCATGCAAAGAACACCAAAGCAAAACACTTCAAAAGGGTTGTTTAGAGCAACTCGTCAATGTTCCGTTGTGAATGTAGGATGCCTCGATATCTTATCATGTACTTCCAGCCTCGGTGGATGATGTTGAGATGAAAGCTCTGTGCAGGTCATACCGTCCTTCTTCCTTAATTATTATTCAAACTCGTCAGAGAAAGGCCGGCCAAAAGGTTCGAACTTTTAGTCTTGCTGTTATTGACAGCACTAATCACTGCATCACGCTGACACGGGCAAATATGGCTTTTCAGCATCAGCAAATTGTGTTAATTATAAGTGCAGTAACTTTAAATTGTCATTCACAGAGTGGGCAGTCAGTGATGCAAAAAATAACAGTCTAAAGATCTCTGTAGGGTGTTCTTAGAGCTGGTTATGTGAAGCCAGAAGAAACAGAGATAGAACTGGGGTTATCTGAGACAAACCTGCTACTTTCTACTTCAGTAGTTTTGGTCATATTAGGCGACATTTTCACTTACAATTCCTGTGACCTAAGAGGCAAAAGAAAATGGCTTTGCAAGAGTCTAATTTTATAAGCTAATTTGTTTGAAGTGCTTTTAAGAACGCCTGTGTTTGAATACTTTAATTCCCTCTTTGGAAAGAACTGTGCACCTATTTAAAGGTTTGAAAGATGAAATTCTTTTTCTGTGTTAACTGGTGTGGTTTAAAAAAAAAAAGGAAAAGGGACAAAAATGGTTTTAATGTTACGCAGTGTCAATTTGGATCATTTGTGCTCTACCAATGTGGAATCCAAATATGACGTTATTGAATTTATGCGACTGATCATATCTATATACTCATTACATATGACCAACCCTGCCTAATGTACTGTTGGTCCTTCACATATTGACAGGGCTCCAAACTCCCTGAGGACAGGACTCCTTTGAAAATAACAGATTCATGGTTTATCACTTTTTTGAGGTGTGAGACACAAGAATGTCAGAGTCACTTGGGTGGCTGACTGTGAGAATAGGCTGTTTATTTTCTATATTTAATTTCCAGTTTATATCCCAGGCCCTGATATGCAGCAGTGCTGCCAGATAGTTATTGCTGCTTGTGTCGTACGGTACTGTGCAGAAGTCTTGAGCCACCTCCTAATAGTTTCCCTTCAAAGGTGCCATCACTCAAATAGCTATTGGCTAAAAACCTGGCACATTAGGGCATGGTGTGCAGTGCATCCTTAAAGACTTTGAGCAGATGAACAGTATTTGAATGTAATGTCTGACAGAAATGGGAAGAAATCTAGCAAAGACCTGACACGTGACCTAAGAAATGCATCTCGCCAAACTACTGTTCAAGAAGTCGTTAATAAGGATCAAAACAAGAATAAAAGAAGTAGTAGTAGTATTTTTGGTTCAAATCATCAATTACAAGAAAAATCTTTCCCCAGTAACTTTACTGTATAAAGAGCTAACATCGCCAAAATGTCAGGAGTAGTTAGTTACTACAAGAAGTGTTTGTGAACTAAAAATCAAGAATGTGGGATACTGTTTGTCCGTGATTTGGAGAGCCCAGCGCTGCTCCCAACACAGGGAAAACCAATTCTGCGGGGGAGACCTACCTCGGCACTTGTGCAGATGAAGCCAAAGGGAAGATATGCTTCACCATATTTTCTACTCTTTGGCTTAGAAAGAAGTTGGTTTGGAAACATATTTGGCGATGCTTCATCTCCTGCTTTGCGTTTGTGTGGAAGCCCCGTCAAAAACCTGTCAATTATGCTAACAGCGTCCAAGCATCTTTTTTTTTTTTTTCTTTCTTTCTTTTCATACCGCGCCCCCTCTGCAATGGCTCTGCCCCACACTTTGGGAGCCTCTGATTTAAGCAATGTTTGATCATCTCGACAGAGAACAGAACAAACGGTAGCCAACTTCCACAGAGAAGCTTTGAATGTCCTTCAAGAAGCCTGGAGAACTGTTCCTGAAGGCTAATTAAAGAATTACAAGTAAAATTTACCCAAGAAAGTTCAGGTCATGTTGAAGAATAAAGGTGGTCAAAAACCAAATGTTGATTTTCAAACTTTTTAGAATTGTAGAAACTAAATGTTTGCCTTACTGTATTTTCAGATATGTTTGCACTTACAGAAAAACAAGGGGTAGCTCATATACACAGTGCACTTTAGGTGCGGGTGTATATTGCGACTCATTAGTTCCTTACAAAAAAGCTTCTATTGTTTTGATGTCACTTTAGCATCTAGGGAAAAATGCTAGGGAAAACCTAAACTTCATTATAGTGTTAAGACAAAAAAAACTGCCTACTTATTTTTGTAGTAGAAGGAAGAACTATTATGAGCCAACTGTGTCTTTTGTCATTCAGTCTCCCAGTGGGAACCATACTAACAAGCTTCTTATCCCAGCCTTGCTGTTTATATCCCACACACCTGGCTGACCAAGCCTTCTGCTATAATGATGGACTCTTTAGAGCATAAAAGGTGTTTAATCTAACTAGAAACACATAATCGTCCTCGGGGATCTAGCAAAAATCTGTTTGAAATGTTCATAAAGAAAGTGTGTCTCGCTGTTGATGCAGAAAGTTTGAAAACAGTCCGTTTGTAACTTTATGCATCTTGCACAACCGTACTTTCTGCTGGGGTACTGCTGATGTTGTTTTTGTGCTCATGTTAATTACTTAGATCTGAGTGGGGATGATTAGCATGCTAGTAGTAATAGCTAACAGGGAATCCGATAGCCTATTATCATAATGAGTCCCTTTGGCGTACTGTGTGGGTTGGTAAAAAAAAAAAGAGAGAGAAAATGAAGAAGTTATGCCGGTCGCCCAGAGAGGAGCGTTGCATCAGTGAAGTGGTTTGTTTTGATTTTTTTCCCCCTTTTTTTGAGGAGATTATATGATTCAAATTGATTTGTCCACCCTGTCTGGAATTTGATAATGCCACAGCTGAAAGGAAACATAAGCACAGTAATATAAAACAACACCAACAGAACAACCACATGCACACTGAAACACAACACATTAAAAGCTGAAATGGCATCATACTTTTCGTCGCAGGTCTTTAGTTACCAGCCTGGAAAAAATCTAAATGCAGACATGGACATGAATATTCATTCCTGACAGGTGTTTCTGTCCAAACATTCACACACATGTATAAACGCACACACACTCTAGGAGTGACATTTCTACAGCTGTGCTCATCATACAGCCATACATATACGCTGGACTCCTGCTGCCCTCGACCTCGTCCCATACATGGTCAGCAGCATCTTTATATGTTGAAAGTATTTGGAGTCTCTTGAGGTGGTGTTTACGTTTTTTAAATATTTCATCATTTATACTTTTTCTACAGGGCAAGTTTATGTTTTCTTCCTGGTTCTTTATCCCTTCGCTTTGTTCTTGCACCTGCCGCATTTTGTCTTGTCAGACTTTCAAGGAAGCTGTGCTGGTATTCTTCAGCGCCACGCAACTGTCGACAGTTTGATCAATCTTTCCTTTTGATTCATGCCAGTCACTAAAAGCTCCAGGGCTAAAAAGGAAGCTGTGGAACGACTCTCTTCTTGTTAACTCTAAATTTTAACATTAACATTACTACCATCTGTTGAGAAGGCGTAAAAAGACATATTGGTGTGCATATTCCCACCTCTGATTGGGTTTGATTAAATGCAGAGATAAGTTGAACTATAGCCGTCCTTTAACTCGTATTTCCCCTGATCTACTCCCACTCTGAATGGATGTTTCTTAATGACTTGAAAAAAGGCTATTTACTAAAGATATTCTGTAATTATTAGACTGATATTAATTTGCTAAATATTACAGGTTATAATAATCAATGAGAATTAAATAAAATACATATACAATTATAATTTAATGTACTTTTCCTCCTGCAGATGGCAAGGCCTGCCCCTCCAAAGACTTCCAGTGTCGTAACGGGAAATGTGTGGCACCGATCTTTGTGTGTGACGGAGACGACGACTGCGGGGACGCCAGCGATGAGGAGAAATGTTCGGCTCCCACCTGTGGGCAGCATGAATTCCGCTGCAACGACTCGGAGTGCATCCCCGCCCTGTGGAGCTGTGACGGCGACCCCGACTGCAAGGACAAGTCAGACGAGTCCATGGAGCGCTGCAGCCGGAGGACGGAGCCCCAGAAACCCCGCTGTCTGGTGAGCGAGTTCCAGTGCGGGAGCGGCGAGTGTGTCCATTTGAACTGGAAGTGTGACGGCGACCCCGACTGCAAGGATAAATCAGATGAAGCAAACTGTCGTAAGTCAGCTTTTTTCTTTTTGCCACCATGTGCTCCCCCTGTGCCGTTCGCTTTATTGTTGTTCAAAGCAATTAGAAAACATAGGAACGAGTCACACCACTGGCATGCTCCTTAATCAAAACATCTTTTTTAATTATCTTTGATTATTCCATAACAACGGGCACAATTCAACTCTGATCAGTCTGAGGAGAGTGGTAGTGAAGTAACTGATCAGCCTAAAGAATCCAGTTTTATTAATTTTAGAAATTAGGATGAATGGTTTGTATTAGTACTTTTGTGTCATTTATCTTTACTTGAAGCTAATGCCAACTATCGCCTTTAATGAAAGTTACGGATGGATACCAAAAAGTAATCAGTTGTTTTGTAGAGCAGCAGCTTAAATGTACTGGAGGACTATGCTTTGAAGACCGGCTCTGCTCTGAACAAAGACTGTGTGACAAATGTGTCACCAAATGACTAAAGGAAGATCAATTCAAATTTTATCGTGACGATCCACAAATGTGTTGCCATGCAACCATGTGACCTGTGCAAGAAGAGACAAACCCATCTGAGCCTGTGTAAGGTGAAGGTCCTTCATCAAGCGTGACCCCCATGTGGTCTCCTCTTCACATGCCCACACACCACTTAGAGAGATGACAGCAACTTCACACATAAGACATGATACAAGCACAGTGCGCAGCCGCACGCGCAGCCAGGTGCAAGCTCTAACACACACATGCACCCACAATAATAAGGTGTTAGTACAAAAAATAAAGCAGAAATCACAGAGTACATGTTGTTTCACTGTTTAGATCACGGCTTGCCCTTTATCACAGTACACACCCTCCTTATCCTTAAATTAATGGCTGCTGCACTCCAGACAGAATTACATGGGTCTGTGGAGTCGTCTTTTACGAGATTGGAATAATTATGTAGGTAAGCACTACACGATTGGTCACTTTTATGTGGTTATATTTTGACAACAATGTCTAAATCTGTGACATGGTCGAAACGTCACTCTAAAGCCTCGAATCTGCTTTCTGCAAGTATGCTAAAATCCACTCAGGTCTGAATGACACGAATTTCATTATCAGACTTTGAGCATCGATCTTTGAGGATGCCCGTGTGCCTGCCTGTGCGTGTTATTGTGCAGAGTTGTCTGTGGAGAACTGACACGAGTGTGCACCAACTATGCATGCACCACAAAAGACCTAAAGGAAATATATATAACAGGAAATGACTACTAATCCTTCATGTCTCCACAGCGGAGTATAATCAAGACTTGTCTCAGCCATAAATGTAAATAAAAGTCAAACATGGACGATGATATGTCATGTATTGGTTTGAGAACTATGACCTTGATATTGGTGTTTCAATCAGACCCACTTTAGTCTCTTTGACTGGACCTGAGCATGTTTTAATGAGAGCTTTGACTTGATTAGCTAATGCTAACACCGGCTTTGTTTGGAAGTTCAATGCATTATTCACTGAGTTATTAACTGCTAGCTTGGAGAATTGGAAGCTGAAAATAAAATTCACTAAACATGTAAACAGAGCAGCCGACAGCTTAGAGTATATTTTATTAAAACAGACTATTTTCCTAAAATAATTAACGTAAATATCCTTGCTACCAACTGATATCTTTTCCAAAACATTTCAAACTGTTTGCTAACTGCCTAAAAAACATTTAAAAATAGACCAAAAATCTCTCTATTAACCAAAAAAAAAAAAAGGGAATCTGTCCTGGGTGTACCCTGCATCTCACCCCGTGATAGCTGGGATAGGCTGAAGCCCCCACAGCGACCGTGATAAGGTTAAGCAGAAGAGAATGGAGGGATGGCAATTTAAACGAGAACATAGAAGACAGCTTAGCACCGTTTGAGTGTAAATGAGGATTGTGACAATAACTGCATACTATACCTCCAGTTTGTTCTTTCCTCGTTCGCCTCGTTTCCATCAGGCTCTGCTCATTCCCACACACGCGCTCCTTACGTATCATTTGCCATCTTATTCGAAACATCTGTCTCAATAACCTCGAGCTTCTTCGCGGACACACTGAGACAAGCGACTGTGAGCAGAGTGACAGAAGGTTAATGGAAATGAGAAATGGTCACATCGTATCGCAACTTTCCTTCTTTCCGTCCTGTCAACGTTTCCGCAGATGCCAATCCATTATTATAACTATTCATCCCGGGGATTTATCATTATTATCTGAGCTAACATCCCAATAATTTGGATGAAGGAATCGGCACATTTTGCGATGGTCCAGGCTTTAGCATGAACATCTGTTTGTCTTTATTTTATTTATTTTTTGTCTGAGTGTTTCAAAGTATGTCTCAGCTTCCCCTTTTCCTGGCATTCACATGTCCTGCTGCAAGCTTGCATTTAATTTTGCTCATTTAATAATGCCTCTATGAGCCTGAAAACCCAAATGTGCCCAAACCGTCATGTGTGGCTGTGTTAATACCATATTTCCTGATGCGAAGATTGTCTGCCGTGTGTTTTTTATCGGCTCCACAGTCATTGATCATGTCTGCCTCTGCTCCGTTGGCGGAGCCAGTCCAAAACACAACACATGAATAATTAAATAGCCAGTTAAAAAGACAAATGAGTTAAATAAACCGTCCCTCCACGTTAGAGCAAGCACAAATGTCTATATGCACATTTACATGCACACACCTTCTCAATAGGTCACTAGATGTGGGTTTGCTTCAGATGCTGGATGAATACATGAATGCTTTTCTTTTCAGCATAGCAGTTTATGAGGATTTATGCCCTATCAAGAGGTGCGTATCATAGATTAGAGCTGAATACTGGAATGCAATGTGAGAGGAAAAGGGCTGAATTTGACTTTGTGAACAATTTAAAATGCTCTGAATTTTCATTGTGGAACTTTATCATTGTCTTTTCGTGGATTAGACTAATGGGAATACTCAGCTAATTCTTAACTCTGTGTGTTTTGTGTTCCTCAGCACTGCTTACGTGCAGACCTGATGAGTTCCAGTGTGGCGATGGCTCCTGTATTCATGGCACCAAGCAGTGTAATAAAGTTCACGACTGTCCGGACTACAGTGATGAAGCAGGTTGTGTCAACGGTAAGCGTCTCGCGAGTACGGAAAAGGAGGACGGCCATGAAACAAGCAAACATCCCGATTATTATTAGAAGAACATATTGTTCTATTTTGTTTTCCTCCCAATAATGTTGGCTTTTCTTCTAAATGCAGAGTCAAAATTCCAGATTTTATTTAAAGTTTCAGTTTCAGTTTTCAGGCCTTCTGCTTCTCGCTTCTGCCTCCTTTCTTAAACTTCATTTACTCAAAAAAAAAGTGGCCAATTACAACTTTAATACTTTGAACTAGCTTCACAGGAACTATAACGAAGAGTAGCACAGTTGGCCTCTCTGGTGAGTTCGGCCCCATGAGAAACTTTAATCAGAAAAATGTCCACCAAAAGATAGGCTTAGAGGCATGGGAAGATAAGAGGCTGTGAATCTCCACTGCCTTAAATCTCCCCTGTGTTCCCTCCACTTAAATCTCCTGAGTGGTCGAAGACGGAGGTGATGATTCAAAGAATTGCAAAGAAGCTACAGCGATATTTTTATTTACTGTAACAACTCAGCTGCGTATAACTTGCACAGAACAGATATGTAGCAGCTGAGTTGCTTCGTGCATTTAATAGGCACTGGATGTCACATCTGCTACTCTTCTACATTTTATTTAGCTTCTACTTTCAAGAGAGTTAAAGGGCCTCTTTGATGGGAGCTCAGCTGCCTCTGGCTCATCTGTAGTTCAAACCGTATAATGCATATATTATCCATGAAGCCTTTCTCTTTTTTTGAGCTTGTGTTTACTATTAGTTACCATACATATGATATGTCTTTCTCAGTAAGCTTCCCTAATTAGAATAGCGACAAACATTTGTTAACCTCCACTTAACTCCCTGTAGCCTGTCTTATTTATAGAACTAAGCAATTTGTTGATCAAGCTTTGCCTAAAGCTTCTCACTGAGAGTCAAAAGAGTCAACCTTTGGGCTAATTATCTCCACAGACCACAAGAAACATCGACAGCATTGCTTTGCTGACATTTACTGTATCTGCATTAGAATCTTGTACTCTACAAAATCTGACGCGCCAGAGGCTTTCATCACAGTAGGGTTGAATTATTGTGTTGCCAAACACTAATTTGGTGCTCAATGTGATTAAAACACTTGCTAAGAGTCTAGGCTTTTAAGTCATCTGATGTCTTCACTACAGTTACAAAATGCGACGGGCCCAAAAAGTTCCGCTGTAAGAACGGGGAGTGTATCGACAGCAGCAAGGTGTGCGATAACGTGAAAGACTGCAAGGACTGGTCAGATGAACCTGTGAAGGAGTGTGGTAAGATTCTTCGTGTTTCTTTACACGCACACACGTTAATGTGAGAACACTGATACACACACTCTACCAGGGATCATTAGCTTGTTCAAATGTGGGTGGTCACTCTTCTCTATGTAAAGGAGATTCATTTGATCAAGGCTGAGTAAATCAGGATATTTCTCAACTACCTTGTTACGATGAAAGACCCAAACGACTCTGCCCTCCGGTGCGATCTTAGCCGAGAGAGCGTGACACGACTACGTTACCCATAAAGAGCCACAGAGATTATCCAAACAGCACAGATAATTACTGCTTCCTCAGCTTTGGTCACACATTTGACACCACAAGCAGTGCAGTTCATCCGCAATCAGATGTAAGCGGCTGAGAAAAGTATACTTATTAATAGAATCGTATCAAATTAATGAAACAAAGGGAATTGAAGCCTGAGATTTTACTTTATGTACACGTTAAAGTGTCTGAGGTTATTAAGAGACGCTGCACTTGACCCATAGCCTCTCTGAATTGGAGTGGCCTGGCATCTGTTGTGTCAGTATAAAATTATATGTGTGCGCACTGCCTTTGCATCCTCCTCTAACCTCACAGCTGATGGATATATTCAATTCGATTTTATTTTTACGGCGCAAAATCACAGCAACAGTCAAGGCTTTATATTGTAAGGTAGACCCTACAAATAATACATACAGATAAAAACCCAACAGTCATATGACCCCTTACGAGCAAGCACTTTGGCGACAGTGGGAAGGAAAACTGGAAGAAACCTCCGGCAGAACCTGGCTCAGGGAGGGGCGGCCATCTGCCGCGACCGGTTGGGGTGAGAGAAGAATCTGCCATGATTCCCATGATAAGAATTAAATATGATGATCTGTGAACTGGAAGTTAGCACACATCACAGCCAAGAAGATGGCGCTGAGTTAAGCCGAGCCTACACAGTAATATCACTTATTAGCAGTAATATAGCTTTATCTTATTTGTGAATGACATTGCCGGATTATTTTTGGTATTTAGTAAAACTCTGAATCTTACTCACTCATTCTGTGTATATGTGTGTCTATGTACATCGATCCACAAATTGATCCATAAATCGATGTGTATAGAAACAGAAATATAAGAATTTTACTCCAACATTGCTCCAGACATCATCTCATACAGTTCAGTGTCTGTCTGGCGCTAGAATTAAGATGTTAGAAAGAGTTTATTGGTATCTGAAAAGAACCTCCTGCCAGCCACCTGCATGTTTTACCCATGCTAAAGTCATTATAGTTTATGTGATTTGGATTTTAACTAAACCTCAGTACAAACTATACAACATTACAAGAGAATAGAAATATGGATATGAGTGTCCACATACTTTGTTTTTTGTTTTCTAGTGCTTCTGCTACAACCTGCTTAAACTGCTTTAAGCAGGTTTTCATGTTTTTGCCTTATTTTAGTTTAAAATAAGGCTGATACTCAGTTGCTGTTCCGTTCTACTGTAAATTACCAGTCTAATTTTGATTAAATGCAAATCTGTGAAAGTCCATACTACTCTTTTCCTCTTCCTGTGAGTCTCCCTTAATGTCTTGCTGCCTCTCTTTTTCTATCTCTAGTAGTGTCTTAGTCTCACAGCAGTACCTGTAGCCTTGAAGCTTAAATCTTTAATGTAAACCGGTAATGAAGTACCAGCTTTAGCTTTCTGCAGAGATCCCTCTTCACTCCCTGGAGGGTAGTTGAAAGACAAAAGAGATAAATGGAGGCACAGAAACTGATACAAAAGGGAAAGGAAGGATGACTCAGTCCAATATGTTCTGTTAAAAGGAAAAAAAACAGAGGAAATGGAGAGAATTGGATTAGAGGATGAAGGAGAGCACATGCTTGTGTTACAATAGGCAATATAGTGCAGTAGCACCTGGGATAAGCAAAGGTTCCTGTTGGAAAATGGATCCGTTCCAGGAACTACTAGCTAAGACTAGTAGAGCACACAAGAATCACACACAAACTTGAATTGTTGATGTATACAGACAGGACAAAAATATCTTTACTGGCAGGATGATTTAAACTGTCCATACAGACCAACCCGTGGGATTGTCTTCCTGTCCATCTTGTTCTTGTGTTGCCAAAGTTATTCTGTCTAAAAACCTGCTGGAATTTACTGGAACAATACTCAACTCTTTATTTTATTTTTCACTGTTTCCTCTCTGCCATCCCTGCCCTTTCCTCTGCTGCCACTCTGTCTCTGCAGGCCTGAATGAGTGTGCAGACAACAACGGTGGCTGCTCCCACATCTGCAAGGACCAGAGAATTGGTTATGAGTGTGACTGCCCCTCTGGCTACAAACTCCTGGATAAAAAGACGTGTGGAGGTAAAGAGAAAAAAAAGTGCAGCAGAGCTGCTCATACCTTGGTCCAGAGAAGCACGACCAAAGGGCAGTGACATTAATCAGCTGAACTTTATCTGTGCTATTCTGTGGTTGTTTTGTTCGAGGGTACTTTTAACTATGGCCATTTTCAGGTCTAAGGAAAACATTAACATGATTCATTAAACACTGCTGTTTAAGATTAGTTGCATTTGCTTTACCCGGTTGAGACAAAAATCTAGTATGATAACTAACTTAAATGCAAAAAATGGGGTTAGCACTCTGGAGTAAACTGCCTCATCTAAAGCTAGTCTTTTATGCATGTTGCAACTTATTAATTGCATGCAGACATTCTGGATTTGGGAGCATGAATAAGTTATTTTAACAACCAGTCTCCTTAGCGAGGTTGCCAGGTCCAGAATGTAAGATGAGGCATTTGTAAAATGTTGGGATGCTGATGATCAGAAAGTGTTCCACCATAAAAAACCGGTAAATGATGTACAGAAGAACAAAACAACAAAACATCAGTTCACAAAAACTGCTACTCCCTATTCAGTACTAATTACATTTTCACTGATTACCTAATGGGTCCGTCCACCCATTGTTACAGCCCTAGCAGGACCTCCTCCTGAAATCGTTCTTGTTTGGATGTGTCCTGCCATATCTCCTGCCTTTGGTGCCACCGTTTTTGTACGGCTGACTCCCATCAGCAATTAAGAATGCTTAAATCCAGAGAAAATTGAGCTCTAGGGCCAGAGAGAGCTTTGTTGGGTTGTAGCTAGTGAGCTGTGAGTATGGTTGTCTATTGCTCCTACTCTGTGGAGAGGAGTGTGTTTTGGTACTAACCCCCTTTGACTTATTTTTAGTTTAGTGATGATCACCTGAGTTTTGTTTTCTTTCTTCAAAAGGTAATAGTGGCTGGTCTGTCTCTTTTAATTTAGTTATCAATAGAAACATTAATAAAATCTGTTAATGTAATCATTTTGCCTCTCTGCCTCCTTTTTTCAACCCGGACACCTTTGTTACTTTCCCTCAACCACTGGACCTTTTTACGGGATCAAGAGGGGGCTTGTCCGGGATCGCTGAAAAAGGGAGTTTTGGAATTGGTTTCTGATTATTTTGCTTGTAAATGGCTTGTGAAATGATGCAGAAACAAAGTTCAGCTCTAGAAACCGAGAATCAGTTCAACTTACTGCTAGCTATGTGACTCAAGCTCTCATTACAGTTGTACAGGGACCAGATAGCCCTTAACAAAGGGCCTAATACCACATACTCCAGAAGCAGCCCCTGCGGACACAGCAAGCAATGCCATTGAATGCCCTCTCTAAGTTAATAAGACAATAGTTGAACAAAATCCCACGTCCCCTTAAATATGCTTAATGGGATGCAGAGCTTGTCCCGTGTTCCACAACCAGGACAAAAGCTGCATTGTTTCTCCTTAAGTTAGGGGCCGACTACTGGATGGACTCTCCTCTTCAGTATCCCAGCACAGACCATCCTAGGTAGGCTGAGAAAATCGGATCCCCCTGAAGTTGTAACATACCCTCTGGTGCCCTTTCTTGAAGAGGGGAACCACCATCCTAGAGGGCAGTCTAGAGGCACTCTCCCCAAGTTCTATCCAATTTTGCAGAGGTATGTCAGTTGAGACAGTTCAGAACATCCAGAGGCTTACAAACTCGAGTCCAGTCTCATCCACCCTGGGGACCTTCCACCATGGAGTTGTTTAACTACTTCAGTGATCTTGCCTCCAGTATTGGGAGGTTCATCCCCTTTGTCCCCAGATTCTGGTTACGCTGACCTTGGAGGACCTTGACCTGTAGCTTTAAATATGACCCTGAATGCGTTCAGAAATGTCAGATTTTCAATTTTTGCTAATTTATTTGGTTTAAGCTGTTTCCATATACAAACGTGTTTAACATCATTTCTATTATCCAGTTAAAACAGTGTTAGTCTGTTTCTCAAAAATATTAGTGTTACAACATTCAAATTTCTCAACAAAAGATCTCTCTTTTTTTTGAAGTGAGGATCCTGCTGAGAAAGGTTGTTAACATGCTAGAAACAGAAAATATTAGCTCTTTTATGTCTCAGTCTCCAGACAAATAGGACTGTGTGTGTCTACAGTTATGTTGTTTGATCTTTATGTCTTTGTGCCATGTTTCTCTCTGCAGACATAGATGAATGTGAGAACCCAGATGCCTGCAGTCAGATCTGCATCAACTACAAAGGGGATTACAAGTGCGAGTGCTATGAAGGTTATGAGATGGACCCTGCCTCTAAGACGTGCAAAGCCGTAGGTAGGGCATTTATCACACACACATTTTTGGAAGTGAATACACACACTGTCACTGATGGAAGCTCCCATCAAAATACAGTCGCACATACATATGAGGAATCACACATAGAAACCAACTCTCACATATTCAGCAACGGCGCTCCGACTCTAGCGCCGACTACCCAGTCACATCCTACGCAGTTCTCACACAGTGGCACTCCGTGAAAGGAGAGTATTGCTTTGTGTGCAGTTCTTGCACAGCAATCTGTGCAAAGATAAATATTTGCCTTTTTTTTTCTGCAGCTCTCACTAATGAAAGTTTGCAGCCAGCTGCTTTTGCTCTCCCCAGAGTGTTAAGGGAAGGGTGTTATTTGGGGAAAAGATCTGCCCACTCAATGCAGGACACAGGCAGGGTCTCTACCCATTGTTGGCTACAGCAAATACACTGAACAGCAGTTTGAATGAAAATAAAATCTTGTCCTCTAAGCTGCACTTGGCAAGTTTGCAACTGAAAAGAAGTCTTCCTTAATGCTATTCAAAACACAACTGTACATGAGCCCGTTAGGTATACATGAGACTTGTTTGAAAGCACAATTTGGGTTCTTCTAATCAGTTCGCACAGTTTTCAGTCTGTTAGAGCTGACTTTAAAGATAACAATCCTGTGGTTACCAAGCCTTTAAGTACCTGCAGATAATGTTTCTATATATTTTACTTTAAGAAGTACAGGAAACAGATGGTTTAGAACAGGGGTAGGCAACTCCAGGCCTCAAGTGCTGTTGTCCTGCAGGTTTTAGATATCACCCTGGGTCAGCACACCTGAATTAAATGGTTAGTTCATAACCAGGCCTCTGGAGAACTTCAAGACATGTTGAGGAGGTCATTTAGCAATTTGAATCAGCTGTAATTGACTAAGGACACATCTAGTCCTGCAGGACACCGTTACTCGAGGCCTAGAGTTGCCGACCCCTGGTCTAGAATGTGTTAACAGTGCATGCTTTCAAGTTTTTAACCTTATTAGCATGTCCCTACGATGTGTTGTTTCTGTGTTCGAAGACATATCTGTGAAATAAGCAGGCAACACAGTAGGTGACTAGCCTGACTGAACAAACCAGAACAACATGTTGCCTATGTTGCTACTGTAAAGTTCACTTTTCTTCTTCTTCTTCCTATTTTCCAAAATCAGTTAACAGCTCAAACACGGATGGCTGAGGCATGGCCGAATTAGTCCAATATTGCAACTTGTTTAGAGTAGAGACACAGAAGCAGACGTGGGTGGCTAGTATGCATCTCTTATATATGCATGAATATTCAAAGAAGTGAACATGCAAAGTTGCATCTGTACGGTGGCCCTGAGAGTCAAACGGACTACAACTTAAGAAAACACCAGCAGTAAGAAAAACGCTGCAAAAGCACACAAAACACAACGGAAATAGGAAAAAAACACAATGGAAGTGTTTCTGGGGAGACAATAACCCGACGGACCAGTTGCAGGAACCAAAATATGCTAAGAACTGCACTGGGAGACAGAAGTGGAGGATCTATTGGTTTTGTGAGGAAAGAAAAGATGAGAGGTAAGTGTGTTAGTCTAACTATTAGCCTAATAATCCGTCATCAGTATTATATGAATCATGATAAAACACGCCTACCATGTTTTGGGTTCCTGCAACTGGTCCGTCGGGGTATTGTCTCCCCAGAAACACTTCCCAATACTGGAGGCAAGATCACAGAAACACTTCTCTTGTGCTTTTGGAAATCAGCTTTTTCCTATTTCTGTTTTCATGTTTCCTATTTCTGTTGTGTTTTGTGTGCCTTTGCAGCGTTTTTCTTATTGCTGGTGTTTTCTTAAGTTGCAGTCTGTTTTGCCTCTCAGGGCCACCGTACATCTGAGCCATATGAAGACATTAAGGGATTGCCTTTACAAAAAAAAAAAAAAACTTCTAAATATGCAATTTTTGTTTTCAATTTTAACTTTTACGGATAGGTACCTGCTATCTTGCTACATGTGCTAACGATTTAAAATATATATACATTATATTTCTAGGCTAGAAATTACCTCATGTTCTGGTGATGTTAATTCCTTTCTACTCTCTATTTACATACATTGAGAATGGAACTTTTAACTGATTGACTTACACAGCAAATTACTTTTCGGCGAGAGAGAAAGGAGTGTTATTAGTAATTATGGTCTGAGGTTAAGTCATTACAGGGTAAACTGGTCTGATAATGAGTGCTTAAAGCAGAAAACAGACCTTCACTTCTAACCTAAGTGGCATAAAAAACAGCATTGATTGCTTTGTGTCTCTGTGTGGGAATCTTTATTACTGTTAGGTAGACCAAACATCCTTATTGGAGGCCAGGCCATTTATAAGATGGCAGCATGGAGAAGCAGAAGAGAAATGAGATGGATACTTACGCGGTATATGACTTATTTCTCTGCTCGTGTATACATACTGTTCATCATTACATAGCATAGCCAAAGGAGACAAAAAAAGAAGTCTGAAATGTGACTGGATGGATTCCTGTTTAAGTTGAGGATTGTTTATTCAGAGGAACAAATCGGGTTGGGACCATAAGTACAGGGATGCCTGTTTTGTGAAGCTGAGGTAATTTGGATTTAATGAAGCTGCATTTTGCTTATGAACTCATTTCTAGACTCGCACGTGCGCAGCAACAGAAATCACCGTACATGTACACAGCGCATAAGTAGTTATTTTGAGGAGTCACGTCATGATTTCTACACAAATGCAATTCCCCTGCGACTGACTGGTTAGGAGGAATGTCACGTTCTGCGATGAGATAGGAAACGAACCCGGTGCCAATATCATATGCACATATTGAAGTTCAGAAGCTGTCATACTCATATCATCTGAAGGTTATTAAAGTTGCATATAAGTCCATTTTTAGATATGCTGTTGCTGTGAGTTGAGTCTGTGTAGGTAATTGTGAAAACGCTACGATGTGTTTGGTGTACAGTAACTGCGTTTCATTTATAATCCTAGAATGCGCTTTCTGTCTCTGCAGATTAATTTCAGAGTAATACACAAGTGTTACACCAGCAGTGCTAATTCAAAGTAACATCTCAGGCTGGAGTCATGATGTGACTTCTTTTCTCAGCTCTGTGTGTGTGAGCATTATATGGCAGAATCCAGGAAATTGACCAGATAGTCTTGTTTTTAGCTAATGGCAGCAAAGCAGGATGTACACACTGACGGGGTGAACCATACATGCGTGCATACTTGCAAATTAGGCCAGTCATGGCAGACGGCTGTCCCTCCCTGGTTCTGCCGGAGGTTGTTCTTTCCCACTGTCGCCGAGTGCTTGTTCAAAGAACTTGGCAACATTGATTGTTGGGGTTTTCTCTGTATTATTGTCGGGTCTTTACCTTAAAATATAAAGCACATTGAGGTGACTGCTGTTGTGATTTGGAGCTATAAATAAAACTGAATTTAATTTGATATTTTATCCTCCGGAGTTTGTCACTTGTTCACTACAATTAGCAAATCTAAGTTGTAACAATAAAATTAACTTCGTACTAATTAACACAGGCTTAGTGGCTGTATTAAAAAAAAACCCTATTTAAAATACTTCAATTAAAGTCTGTGAAATTAAAAGAAATATAAATGAATACAATGGCGAAGGATGTAACAGCTGTGGGACTACATAACAGGTACACTCGATAAATGCACGACAGGCTGCAGAGGAAAGTTACAAACTGCCTTTGGTCCAAAGTGTTGTGTTATTTTTCTGTTCTCTTGTTTCGTTCACTTGTGTCTCGTCATGTCTCTCATCTGTAGTGTACTGCAGGCTTCACCTCAGAGCTGAGAACAATTTGTACCTTTCTTGACAGTTTGATTACACACTTCTCAGAAAGGTTTTAAAGGACTGGACAAATTCTTTTTTCCCCCCATTGTCAGAAGATTTTGCCACAGGACCAAAAATGTTGCTGAATAATGTCAAAACTCATCAAAAGTTGTGTCTTGTCTTCAATTATGATGTTATTTAGCATTTAATTCTATTTGTCTGGAAAGAAACTGGTCAAATTAAACCAGAATTAAGGTTCAAATTTACACATCTTTATTCTGCTACTTTAACTGATCTATTAAGCACATCGGTGTTCTCATCATGAAAGTCCAGGCACCGACAATTTTTTATATATAAAATATAACTAAAATATAAAATATAAGCACATGTGGCCTTTAACCACAAGAATAACGAAGTGTTATGTAAGCGGCTTTGTGTTAACGAATGACAGGAAAGTTGAATGACTTTTGACACAGCTGTCGATGGGAAGTTCATTTCTGTTCTCCGCTGTCGCATCTGTTCGTCATTATGTAGCACGGTTTGTAAGTCTTAACAACAAGTCTTAACAAGCACTTCTGACCTTGACGTGCGTGCATTTTTCCAGACATACCATCATCCTATTTACCTCCTCTAGTGCTGGCCAGTTCACAAAAGCTGCAGCTAAACATCGCTGTCAGCCTGCAGAATTTCTCACCATTATTTCTGACCTTTCTGTCTGTCTTTTTTTGGGGGGGATTTCTTTTTTTATTTACCTCTTACTTTGTGACGCTCACAACATAAACACCTGGAAATCGGTGCTCCTGCAGCATCTAACAGTGTTTCCCAGGCTGCACTTATCCTTTTGCAGCTTTATCTTAATTGGCTGATGGGGCAGAGCAGCCCTGAACGAGCACTGCAGATTAAAATATATTTACGGAACCATGTTGCTGTTCAGATAGCTGACTGTAGCTTTGCAGTATCTTGTAGAAGAGATAATCTTGCACTTTTTGATGACATCTGTAGTGCTGGGGCCTTTTGGAAAACAGTGACTCAGCTTCTTTTTTTCTTTTAAAAAAAAATAAACTTCAGAAGGACATATTGCTGTGACAACACCGATGAGGGATAAGAGATATTGTCGTGAAAAAGTGAGTCTGTGGGAATTGATGAAAGACATGTCGGAGTTATCCATGTCCTCATTATACAGGCTTCAAAATGTTCTTACTTTTCTCTCTCTTTTTCCCACTTTCCCATGTTTTCACTTGTTTTGTTGATGGCTTTTTCCTTCGTCCTTCCTTAATTACATCCTCTTAATGATCTTTTCTCCCTGACTTTACCTGCATTTGTCAGATTTACTTGCGCTTGCCTGTTCCTTTGTCTCTCTCTCGCTTTCTCGCTCACTCGCCCTCTCAGCAGGGGAAATTGATGATTACAAACCAGCAGTAAGAGAAAAATGATTGGATCCTAGCAGTAGTAGAACTGTAATATTTTCTCCTTGTGCAGTGGCCTGTAATAAACCAGGGCTAAGGAAACCTGTCAAAGCACGGTTGAGTCTGTGTGAAAGTAGGAGTTTGTGCTGTCTGTGCACGCTCGAACGTTGCTGCCGGCCGGCTTTGTCTTGTTTGAATGCTGTTTTGATTTTTGTGGACAGTGGAGAATAAAGATGACGTGACAGCTAGGACAGAGAACAAACGTGAAAAAACGTGCTGGAAAATGTAATGGGAGTGGCAATCCAGGACACACCAGTGCTGCTAAATTAAAAGAAACATTGATGTATTATTAGCTGCACTGTAGTGAGAGTCCAGGACTACATTTCTTGTATTTTAGGTTGAAAGTGCTTGATGACAAAAATATAGATGTCACAGCAACTCCCATGCTCACAAACTAAGGTATCTCTGTGTGCTAGAGTTGACCTTGTCACCTACCTAGAATTATTCAAATGCTTGAGCCATCCTCACCTTCAGTCAGCTGAAGTGTGTCCGCTACCAGGTAACTAAGTGCCAGTGAACGCCACATCCTGAATGCCCCTGAAAAAAAACCCCAGCAATGCACTGTTGTACTTTAAATAGACTGTGGCATGGCTCTTGTTGGGTCACTTCACTAACAAAAGTAATGTAACTTTTTCCAACAGTAGGACACCACACTTGCATCTTTATTCCAAAACAATAGTCTTTAAAAAGGGGTGTGTGTTTTCCATGTGGACTGAATCATACCACATACATCATTTTCCCTGTTGTGCATAATTGTGTGAAAAACTCACTCAATAATATGATGTTGTTCTAAAATCTATGTGTAGATGGGAAACATTATTATTTTAATTATATTTTTCTTGTTTGTCTGTACAAATACGTGTGTGTGTGTATATCTACACATATATTCATATTCGTAAATGAAAATACATGTAGACGAGTATATATTGGTTTTTTTTGTTTGTTTTATTATGTCTGAAATAAATAAAGATACAAATACAAATACAAATAAAGGGGTTGTTTGGATACATAATTTATGTTCACATCATCAAAAATACATGCTTTAAAGACCTAAATAGTACAAATGCAAAACAAGAGTACAGTTGGCTTACATTATGTTCCCTTTTGGGAATAAGGCTAAACACTCAGCACTACCCACGGTATCTTTGTACACAACAGTATGTAGGTTATTAGACTGGTGAAGAATAGCAAAGGGAAACACTAGAACAGCCTATTTTGTATGTGTGTTAACAAAATGTCACAATGTTCCCAGGAATGGGCGTCCCAATAAATTCCTCTTAAGGCCAGGCCATGCAATGCCCAGAGAAATTGCTTAAAACCCCAAGAGCTACATCTCAGACTTTTAAAAAACCCCTATTAGAGTGTTAAATGTCAAAGTTCATGACAGTTCATGATGCCACAAAAAGATTGAACAAGTGTGGCAACAGCCTCTTCTCTTAAGAAAGACAGCGGCAAACACACCTTAGCTTTACAGAGTTCATCTGAGCAAACCACAAGACTTCTGGAACCATGTCCTGTGGACAGATGAGAACAAAGTGGAAATGTTTGGCCATAATGCACAGCCCCACGCTTGGCAAAAACCAAACACGACATAATCAACACAAACACTTCATACCAACTGTCAAGCACGATGCTGTATACCAAAGTATTTTAGAATCAAATATGAGGCCATCTGACTGACAGCTAAAGCTTTACCCAAATTCAGTCATGCTACAAGACAATGATGTCAAACACAGCAGCAAATCTATAACAGAATGAAAAAGAAAAGAATGAAGGTGTTGCAAAGGTCCAATTAAGGTCATCCAGACCTACACCCGAGTTATGCATCATCCTGCCAAAACTCAATGAACTGAACCAACGTTGTGAACAGTCAACCAAAGTTCTTCAGTAGCTTCAAGTTATTGCAAAGGTGATTCTACAAGCTACTGAATCATGAAGAGTACTTAGTTTTTCAGAGGACTGCATAGAGTCCTATCAGAACTTCGGCTTTCACGTGATTGTGTAGATTTGAAAACTGTGGAGCAACGACTGCAAAGGCTCTGTCACCTCTTTGCTTGAGGCATGACCTTGAGACATGTACAGTAAGAGGCCTTCACCAGTGGGTCTGTGAGACTGGGAAATATTGGTGAATATAAATGAATAAGACTGGTAATACAAGCTAGGGGCCGCCCATTAAGAGCCTTGATCAAACAATCATAAACTGAATTCTAAAATGAGGCACGATGCCAATGCAGAGAGGCCAGGACTGGAGTGATGTGCTCATACTTTCGGTTCTAGTCAGCAGTCTAGCTGCAAATGCCTATAACAGTACAGATCCACAAGTTCAGCTTTCACGTACAGGAATTTTGCAAGGGTAACAAATATTTCCCTGTGACATACCAAGAGCAAAAGCAGTACAAACGGCCCATATTTGGTAGGTTCCTAATTTAGAGTCACAGCAGTGGGTTACAGAGCAGATGAGCTGTTCTGTATAACTTCTCTGTCCAGTGGTTTCATTGATGGTAACATAAACATCTTTCCTTTTCCAACAGGAAAGAGTCCGTACCTGCTGTTCACTAACCGTCATGAAATCCGTCGTATTCACCCGCTGAAGAGTGAGTACACACAAGTGGTCCCTACACTGAAGAATGCCGTGGCCCTGGATGTGGACGTGTCCACCAACAAGATGTTCTGGTGTGATCTGTATCATCAGAAAATATACAGGTACACACACATACAAGCACGCACACACAATGACAAGTTATATTTATTTTTTAAATTATTTATTTAACCCTATCAGGTACTGCTACACAGAACTGAAGACGCACTGCGTCACTAACCCACTAGATTTTGCTGGATCATTCTGTTTAATCGACAGAAAAATGATCTATAATTGTATATTTCAGTGTAATTATTGAAATGCTGTAAATGATGTGTATATATTCTGTCTATAAAGGCAGAGGAAGCCCATATAAAACGATGAAAGCCACTGTATAGACGCAGGACCTTAAAGTTAGATAACATTCTTCAGCCAACATGTTCATTATCTTTCTCCTCTATCCATCCATCTTGTGTGCTTCAACCTGTCACACCTTCTAGTAGTGAGTCAGCCGCACCTGTTTGTCCTTCACACACACTGTGTGAGTCTGTGTGTGTGCACATACCATAGCTTTGCACATACATTTGTGTGTGTGTTTGTGTCACCCTGATGGCTGACAGGTTGTGGGAGGGGCTTTCTATCATCTCAGCTGAGCCATATGCTCTCACTAATTTCACTGCCTCAATAATCGCTGCCATTATTCATCTCCATACACACACATTCACACGCAGACATTCTCCCACACAAACTTGGTAACACAGTCAAGGGCTTGTGACAGGGAACGGACAAATGAACTCATTTTTCACAGCGAAGTCTATTTTTCGATGCCGTAAATAAACTCACATATCAAAAGTTGCTTTAAGTAGCAAACAGCGAGGGAAGTTATACAGCTTAATCTACTTGGCGTTGTCCTTGATGGTGTTTTCTTTTCTCTAATCTTTCAAAGCAAAATCTTCTGCACTTGCACCCAAGTGCATAGCATCAGAATCAAGTTTTCCTGCTGTTTAGAATATCTGCTCTTTTTGACATTACCATATGTTTTCTTTTCTCCTGTAACGCCACAGTAGAATATATGTAAGCAAATTGTCCAAGTTGCCTTGGTGACAGATCTTAACCCCAGGTAGAGATGAAATTAGAAATTGGAGCTTATTAGTAAAATGTGAGGGTTTTTTTTATTTATTTTGTTTTGTTCCCTGATAAGGTGATATACGAAATAGTTAGGCTTATTAAAGTCTGCACTACTCATTCACCCTCAATGTGATAATGTGGTTTTCCAGACTAATTCATAGTGATTAGCATGCCACGGGTCGATGACTTGTTACCTTCTCCCAATGATGGAGATGTCTGTTGCAAACAATGGTTCAACCAATTAAACATGCAATCTGCTCAGTGGACTTGGACTCATCTGTCTCTGTCTTATTCTTCACTGTGCCCGAAGCCTCTGTTCAGCCCACCAACCTGTTCAACCTAAGTCTATGTGAAGATTTTCTAACTCAAATTAAGGACATAGTGAAATTAGAGTGAGTAAAAGAATATAAAGTGGATATAAAACATCTTCATAGCACTGTCAAAATATCTGGATTTGTGATGTTGAGAAAATATGACCCCAAGAAAAATGACTTCAGAACTTTGTCCATTTTTAATGTGACATACATAAATTAAAAGCCATGGTCCAGAAAAAGCTTATAAAGCGTTAACGAGATCTCATGATTTAAAGGTATCAGTCAGGAGAAGGGTACACAAGAATGTCCAAGCTGTAAAATATACCATAAAATACATTGTGTTTTACTCAAAATGGACGGAAATATGAGCAGTTCCAATACTGATACCAATTTGGCACAAAAACTTAAAGCAGCTGCTAGATGAAAATGATGAGGAATTTCACCCTTTAGCACAACAATGACCCAAATCATCCAATTCTACAAAAGAATGTCTTCACCTGATGATTAAAGTTTTGGAAAGACTTAGACCTGAATCCAAATCAAAACCTGTGGGGTGACCTGACGATGATTTGTGGTACTTTTGCAAAGAAGACTGTTAAGTATTGCCAAATCAAGAGACGCAGTGCTGTGGCAAACTCCCAGCCAAAAAGACTGAACGGTGTAGTAAAATCAAAAGAGGTATTTAACAGTATTTTAGTCTAAGGCTGCGCACATTTGTGCAGCCAGGTAATTGTAAGTTTTTCAGTGATTGTCCCCCACCCAAATAGAATTGAAGAGTGACTGTGAATTGTGCAGGTTAAACTTTAAAGGTGGAAATTATTTTCTTAAATCGTTTACCTTGATCTCATTTTCTTCATTTTTATACATCATGAAAACCTGACGTGTTGAATTTTTATATCCGCTGTGTTCGTAAAAAATTAAATATTGGAGAAATTGAACAAGAGATTAAACAGAAAATATGTTTTAGTGGAACTCGCGATTACTCAGTATCAAAGAACAGAATGTAATGCAAAAGAAAATTGTTTCAAATTGAATTTGTGTCAAATGTAATTTTTGTTCTGGCGTTTTCAGTAGAGTTCAGTAGCTGCATGCTGCATCAATAACACGATGGGTTTCCTTCATTTCCACAATGCTTGAGCCGTTTTAACCTCGAGGGTGAAACAGTGTGGTGTTGGATCCATGTTACAAACCCTGAGGCACTCTTGAGAACCCATAGATTATCTATCACACTCACACAATAACATCCCACACTCACCTGACTGTAAAGATGAAGACATTTGGGTTGACAAAATGTAACGGTGAGCATCTCCAAGCTCTGACTACCAGTCAACCTTCTTCTTTAGTTAAGATGCACCTCCCGTCTCCTCTTACTCCTGTAGGCGTTGCTAAAATGTGAAGGCACTGTGCAACTTGGGACATTGCTTGTCCCAACCTTTTATCAAGCATTTTTTCTTCCATCTTGCTCTTGCATTCATATATTGTCGAGGCAGTAATCTATTAAGTTTTAACATTTTTCACCAGTAAAGGAAATGTCAGTGGGGAATGGGGATAGAAGAGTTGACAGAGTAAGTGGACGGAGGAGGAAAATCAAAGAAACTGAAGACAAGAAAGGGACACTCGGTTAAAGGGGAGATATAGGCATGTGGTGCTGATAGAAAAAGACAGACTCATTCTCCCTGGGAGGCTGTGTTTGGTGTGAAGGCTGAAGTTGTTATAAAGGTGTCAGGATTGGGTGCCCCTCACACCTGAATAGAGTGAAGAATCTATGTTCCCAACAAGATATCTAAGCCACTCACAATCAAGTCATTCCTCCCAAGGAAAGGAAGCCAGACGGTAGTAAATCCATCGTGCCAGCACCTCTGTGATGGATTAGGCTTTTATAATTTCCAGATTACTTACTGATACATTTCCTTTCCATCCACCCACCAGCGCTTACATCAACAAGGCCAGTGACTCATCACAGCAGGTGACGCTCATCGATTCGCTCCACTCCCCGGAGGGCCTTGCTGTCGACTGGGTCCACAAGAACATCTACTGGACGGACTCAGGCAATAAGAGCATATCTGTCGCTACGGGAGATGGCAGGAAAAGGAAAATGCTCATAACCACCGAGCTGAACGAGCCACGAGCCATCGCAGTGGATCCGCACCAAGGGTGAGTTGGGTTAGTTTTAGGGTAAAAGGATTTTGAAAAAATGCACAAAGGAGCAAAAGATTGCAAAGGAGTTGAGCAAAAAGGCAGGAAGGAGGGAGGGCGAGTAAGAGGTCCTACTGTCATTGTGTGTGTGTCTGTAAAAGCCAGTGTTGTTATAGTAGAAAGAGATTGGGTGTAGAAGTTGGCCTAAAGTCAGTAAAGGCTATTTGTAGCACTGAGCCCATCTGTTAGATTAAGCAGTTTAACAGTTTTCTTGAGATGGGATGTAACACTTTGTCTTCCCTTTCTAACTCTTTCCATTTGTCTCGGGTGCCTTGAGCTCCCCAAAGACGTCTTTTCACAGCTCTACAAAGCTAGACTAGCATGAAATACATGCAAATGAAGCCACGATTTCACAGTTTTATCATGGACACACATATTCAGATAAGGTCCAAGTTTCCAGTACCTGCTGTTTTGCACAGTGCTTTCCCTTTTATGTTTTCAATGCCTGTCTTACTAATAATACAGTCATTTTGCAAAGAAAATGAGAGAAGATGTCTGTGGAACATCGTGTGACGGAGTACAGTTGATTTTGTCAGTTAAGAGTTTTTCAGAACAATTGACATTGCATATTAATCTCTCTTCACTGGTCCTTGCAAAGTTACTCCTTTCATTTCTGACACTGAACTGGCCGTGCCTTAATGATACAACATGTATATAAAGATGAACAATGGCATCTCTCACTGGTTTTGGACTGTATTTGGGTTATAAGCTGTATGTTAAGTTATCAGTTAATGCTAGCTAGACACACAGATAAGCTGCTAGTTATTAAGTAACAGACAAATAAAATACTAGCTTTCACTCACCAAAAGTAGAGCACACAGGAAGCCATATTATTTGTTAGATGATTGTATTAAAAGTTCAAAAGGTCACAAACGCAGAAACAAAAAGGTCCAGTTCAATGACTTGAAGTAGCGGAAGTTGAAGCCTTGCCGCGAGTTGGTGCTACAACCGCCTGCATTCAAGCGTCACGCTCCACAGCACTAATAATTCACAACTTTAAGTATTAATACTTTAAGCCCCTATAAAGGGATGAAATGTAAAGATGTCACAAAGGTGGAAAATTACTTTTTATACCAAGCTAGAAACTTTTTTCACCCCTGCTCTAAAGCTAGGCACTCAGCCACAGATAGCCACACATTGGTTTCTGAAGTGCCATATTGTATTGAAGCTTTTGCCATCACCAGCTTGGTTGGCAAAAAACCCGAGTTGACAAGAAGTCAAGTGTGAAACCGCACAATCATTGGCTAATGACTTCTGATGGACAGCTATTAGCCATCAAGTGTGCGGTTTTTATATCATTTTGTAACATGGTTACAAAATATTTCAGTTGATATTTTATTCAGTATGACCCAAAACAAATGAGTAAAATCAGAAAGCCATTTCTCGTAGCCTTCTGTAAGACTTCAGGTCTCTTTTACAACCACAGCTATCACCATCTGGTGGCCCTCAGAGAGAATGCAGGCAGGTCACGTTGGCTTGATTTCTCAGCCTCCGAGGTTGCTGCTTCAATTTAATCTAACTTGTGTATCTTCCCGCAGGTTTATGTACTGGTCAGACTGGGGAGGTCAGGCCAAAATTGAGAAGGCTGGGATGAATGGAGTGGATAGACAAATTTTGGTGTCTGAACACATTGAATGGCCCAATGGAATAACTCTAGGTAAGGAAAAAAACATGTAGCTTTGAACATTCAAAGCCCACGGAAGAAGGATGAAAAGCTAGAAGATGATGCCCAGATAGAAAAAATCAATCAGCTCTGACAGCAGTTTTGTTAAAAAAAAAAAAAAAAAGGTTATTATGCTGACATTGCTTTTAGAGAGAGAGAGAAAAAAAAGTGTCTCGAGTGAATTCAACACAAAGAAAAAAAACAACACATGGAGGAAAGCCAGAGAGAGACAAACAGCACAAGTTGAGAGAAGAAAATAGTCTATGGGTGCTGAAACCCAAGTAGCTCTTATTGTTATATACCTCAGTTTGTGTCTGGCTCTCATCAATCAAGCCAGTGAGTATGAGGCTCCGAATTAATAAGCCAGACGCTCTGTGCTGTCGATACCTCCCCTCATCCCTTTCAACTCCCTCCGAAGCACCAGCCAATTCCTCTCAGCTGCCCTTGCCTGAGGAGAAATAGAAGCACACAGTCGCCACACTCTGTGGAATTGAGGTGTCGCCGCATCTGTATGAAAACAAATTATTTTTTGGAATAAGGCGAATGAGAGGCTTGGCGCCAGGCGGCTGTGGGAGAAAGGGTGAATTGTGTTCCCCTGGTCACTGATTTCATAGAGACCACCGAACAGTGCAGGTGATTGAGTCAGGAGAGGTGAATGGGGTCCGAGAATCGTGTTAATTCTCTTCCTCCTTCAGTTTACTTTGGTACTTTTATTGGATGCTTTTTTTTTCATATACTTCCAGTGTTTTACCAATTTCGAATTGCTTATTGCACACAAAAGCTTAATTCTTTATTAATTACTAATTAAATTCTTGCTTTCTGTTTTTTAAATGTTCTTCTTAAAAGCATAATCTTAGAGTCTGGTGAAAAAAAGAGTAATACAGGGATTATTTCCTTTGCTGTTTAAATTCAATGTGGTGTTTCGATTTCAAAGTAAACACCACAACACTTTGCCGCTCATAGCAAGGACACAACAATGATTTGGGCCTAATATAAATAATATAGCAGTGGCTGAAATGTGGAGTTATTTGAGATTTGCGAAGCAGCAAAGTTTGTCTTTAAAATAGGTCCAGCAAGACTAATGATTCTGTTCAAGGGCATATATATTTTCTCCAGCAAAGAAGTCAAGCGGCAATATTACAATCACATCTGTGTTTTCTTAGTACGGGGCTGAGGTCGTCATGTCAAAGAAGATTGATTGTGTAGCTACTGGGCCATTACATCCATATACCCCTCACCCTGGGCCGTTTCACTCTGAGTGACCTCTCTCTCTCCATTCACCTTCTCCCCTACCCCCTCTTGATTTTGTTCTCTCTCGCTCTCCCCCTTCCCTGCATGTTCTCAGACTTGTCCAACAGACGACTTTACTGGGTGGACTCCAAGCTGCACCTGCTGTCCAGCGTGGATTTCAATGGTGACAACCGCAAAGTGCTGCTCTCCTCGCATCACCACCTGGGCCATCCCTTTGCCCTCACTGTCTTTGAGGTACAGCAGTTGAGAATTGAGATTCAAATGCAAAGAATCAGACCAGGCGGTAATGCCAGAGCTCTGGTCTGGTGCATACAGCTGTTTCTGTAATATGCATTTTTGAAAGTGTGCAGTGTTTTGTTTCGTTTCCAACCTTTTGGGCAAATTTTAGTTTATGCTAATGTAATAATTCATCATTAGACTATATCATCATACAGGGATATATTTTCTGCTCTAGCTGTATACCTATTGAAATATATGCTGAACAGTTTATTAGGTACACCTTGCCACTAAGGGTTGGAGCTGGAAACATTCCTACGATTTTGGTCCATATTGGCATGAAGGCATCAAACAGTTAGATGTGAATCTTTTGTGCTACCACATCCCAAAGGTCCTTTTTTGGTCTGGTGACTGTGGAAGCCATTTTTGTATGGCGAACTCCCTGTCATGTTCAAGAAACCAGTTTGAGATTATTTGAGTGGCATGGTATGGAGAATTATGCTGCTGGAAGCAGCCATCAGAAGATGAGTACACTGTGGTCGTAAAGGGATGGATATGGTCACCAACAATACTCATAAGTTAGTAGAGGGTAGGGACCAACGAATGCCAAGAACTTTCCCCTGCACTATTTCATCACCACCAGACCGAACTGTTGATATAAGGCAGGATGGATTCTTGCTTTCATTTTATTTATGCCAAATTCTGACTTTACAATCCGAATGTAGCAGCAGAAACTAAGACTCATCAGATTGGGGATCATTATTCTAATCTTGTGTTGTCCAGTTTTGGTGAGCCTGTGTACGCTGTAGCCTCAGTTTCCTGTTCTTAGCTGATGTTCATGTTCATGCGTAGGGTTTCTGTCTTGGTTAATGTCCTTGGTTAGATTAAATTTCTCAGTGTATGTCTTATATAATTTTGGTTTAGGGTTGGGTTTAATTTGAAATCAGTTTGCTTAAAGTTTCTTAAATAAATGTGAAGAATGCAGAACTCTTTTTAAGTATATATGGACATACACAGCACGCTTTTTCTTTATTTCCTAATAGAGTTAGTGGGAGGCTTTACCTGGAAGGTAAACAAGATCCAGAAGTTCTTATTTCACTCCCAAAATAAATGTAAACACACACACACACACACCAAAGGGGTCTCAGATCAGTTATCGCTGCCTTCTAAGTGACAATCATATCTTGTCTGTTGATTCCCAACATGGTTGCGTATTTCTAGACTTGCAGTGAGCAAAATTTTAGCAGTGGGTTTTTAAGTATACTGTTTTGATGCCATTTATTACTATGCTTGTTCATCGTCATAAATGGAGGACTGACACACATTTTCAAAGTGTACTAGCGGTAAAAGACGTGCGAGAACTAGAGGGGGAGAGATGAGTCAGTGCAGGGACATGGCTGACTGACTGAAAAGAAATGGAGATGTTATAGAAGTATAGAAGCAGGATAAATCCAGAGAAGGAATTGTTGTTTGTTTGCTGACGAGTGTAGAGTCACAATAGAGTGCATCAATCAATAAAACTAATTTGGGTGTATTTATTGAGGTGGGAGTGAATCGGTACGTTAGGGCCCATCAAGCATAGATGATGGTGTGGAAGGTGGAAAACAACTGGAGGAGGGAGGAGAGAGCAAGGATGAAGGTGGGGAAAGTGGTAGGTGAAAATGTGATCAGTAAGTAGTGTTTGCTCCATTCCCCTCTTTGCTGCACACACTGTGTGTGATGATGGGAAAGCAAAGGGAAGAAGGGACATCCATCATGCCCAGCTGAGAGCGCGTGAGTGTGTGCGCGTCTGTGTGTTTGCGTGCAAAAGAGAGAAAGAAAACCGATGTTTCGAGCAGCAGTGAAAGTTCACCCCAGGAGATTAATAGCTCTCGGCTCTTCTGGTCTTTCTTCTGCTCTGGTTATGATATAGACCAAATTAAAAACCTTTAGCAGCACAGGAGGATGTCACGGTGCCTACAGACCGATAATGGGAAGTTTGTTACTTTTAGAATTGCCTCGTTCAAATTTTGAACTAAAACACTGAACGTTTTTGATCATTCTGGCTTTAAGGAAATGCTCTAACAAGTAAGGCACCAGCTGTGATACTTCATAAAGATAGGATAGGATAAAAGAGCTACTGTTCTAGGCTACTGAACAGAAACAGAAACACGCTTGCAGCATCAGTAAGGAGGGACAGGATGGGGCATACTCCCAATAACAGAAGGCACAGTGCGCGTCCTACAGATGTGATACAAGGTAAGCCTGCAGCATAGACCTGACCAGGACAAGCACACTTACTGCACAGTGCAGAAAATATGGAGTGCCGTGTACTGATATGCACTGATATAATTCATTTTAATGGAGAGAGACAGAATAAAGTCCTATAGAAAAGTTCCCAAGAAGCCTAAAGACTTTAGAGAGTTTCTGGCCAAAATCCCTCCTGAGATGTGTGCAAACCAACTCCATGAAACAACAAGACAGGAACTAAGTCATGTTTTGCTTGGGGATCAAATACTCAATTACATACTAATCAGTTTAGAACTTTTATGTGATGTGTTTTTTCTGTATTTTTGGTTGATGTTAAGTCGCTCTCTTTAAAATGAATCTACCATTTGTAGCCATTTGTAGATGGATAGCAAAGGCAAGTCTATACCCAAGTTTACACTGAATGAACAGACTCCTAGTGTGAAGATGCTTTGCAGGGACAACATTTTCTCCAGCCGAAACATAGCAATTTCAAACACAAGTTTTTATAGAATGAAAAAAGTGAAAGCTGTGGCCTGTGTGTCCTGCCTCAAATTCAGCAGAACAGTTGGAGTACTTTAAGGTGGACTGTGGAGCAAGAAAAACAACACCTCCAGCAAAGAGCACCTGCAAAGAATCATCTGGCAGAACACATTTCCACAGAGTCACTCATGCAAAATATTTAAAACTGGTGTCATCCATGCCCAGGAAGTTTGAGTTTTATTAAACGTAAAAGAAGAGAGAGTAAAAAATATTACAGCATGCACGAGGTGCACGGTGTTGCTGTGGTAGGACTGTCGCCTCGCTTTAGTTGGTCTTGGGTTTAAATCTAGGCTGAGGCCTTTCTGTGTGGAATTTGCACGATCTACCTGTGGCTGTGTCGATTCTCTCCACATACTCCAGCTTCCTCCCACAGTTCACAGTCATGTATGGGGTTGGGTGAAGCTTAGGTTGGTGATTTTAATTGGTTGTAGGTGTGAATGTGAGCACGAATGGTTCTCTGCCCATAGTGTCTGTCCCTGAGTGGAAGAAAGTGGACTGGTGAATCAAATATTGGAGCCACGCTAACAAAGAGTGCACTCACTTGTGTTGCAGTTGATTCTTAAATAGTATAAATTAAGCAAACGTTAGTTTAACTGTTCCTATTCTTTAGTTAAAAACAAAGTAACTGTAAAATGTTCACATTTAGCTCATACACTGTTCGGTAAGTTTCAGTTAAGACAAATCCACAATAATAAGACCTGGGGGATCACATGTAAAACTTTGTGAAAACTGTAGAAACTTATTGTGAGCGGGAATTGTTGTGGGGACTGTGTAACCCCAAGTCAGTCATCCTCACATGTTTTCTCGCATGCAGAGAAAATGTTTCTGACATTTAGCCACATTTGATTATGCACAAGCATAACAAAAACCACAAGCCCACAGCTCTTAAGCATCCATTTCTTTCACATGCACATCCATATAGCTGCTCTTCTGAGCATGTGAGATATGAGTTGTCAACTCATGTGCGGCGTACGGTTTATTCCAGCTCCTCATATTCCTGAGCGATACAGTGAACGCTACAAGTCATTACACTCGAGTGTGTCATCTGCAGACTTCGTTTTGATGCTGATGAGCGAACGGGTTTTCTCAGCACTGCAGAGAAAGATGCGGGGCCTCTGTATCAAACCCTGAACAGACACACGCATGTAAACTCTACCAGTTAGTGCCGACCGCCTGCCTACATGCCAAGCCCCGAGGAGATGTAGATCGCAGAAGCTTGCAGAGAGTAATGTTGTCTCTTTTTCAGCTCTTGACAGGAAGGAGATAGAAGAGAAGGTGGGATGGGATTGAGAAGAGAAGTAGTGGTTGAAAGAAATAAAAACTGGAGTAATATGTAAAGATTTAAATTTTAAAGGCTCTATGTGAAAACAGGGGCAGTCAAATGACATGTGATCAAAGCTTTATTTTCTAAAAACCTGACGAAGACGTCCGTCAGGCCCTCTCTGTCCACATCTACAGCCCAAATAAGAAAACTAGTCAGCTCACATAACTAGAGACACGTTGTAACGTGCACATGAGAGAAAATTCTCTTTTGCAGCTTATTGGAGATTAAATGATTTACCGAAAAAGCCCCCACATTATTTTTTCAGAACTTGGCTAATTATGCCAAAGAATGCAGATCAAACCCATAAAAAAAAAAATCAAATCAAATCCTCAACAGGCAAGTGGGTTGGCTTTGTTTGAGCTTTCATTTGTAGTTTTCATGCATAACATCCAGGTATCCAGTAGGCACCTGAAGCTCATCAGACAGATCAGTCAGACAGCCCCGACGCATATTCTTCTGGGATAGAATCACAGCAAAATCATAAAGGGCTGCTTTCCCTCGACTCAAAAATGGCTCCATATAAATTTAGACGTGCTCTCACTCCCCCCGAGTTGCAGCTCCATCTGATGTGACGTGACGCCATGTGTTCATGGGAGCAAGTCTGCGTGCGCTTTGTGTATAACTTCTGGCCTATCCTTCAAAACATAAAAGATGTACCTTGATCCTACAATTGAAGAGCACTGCCCTTCTCAGGTTTTGTGCTGCTGTTTGAAGCTTCAAGGTCACAAGCGGCGCGCGGAAAGATTGACAGTGGAGAAAGTAAAAAGGGGAAAACAATGTCAGAGACTGACTGCTGAGGTGGAAATCAAGACAGAGAGCGAGAGAAGCAAAAAGAAGAGATGGAATAATAGATTTGAGTAGTGTTTTATCAGCGTGGCTGATATTTGTCTTTCATTGTTTCAGAACTACTGTCATATGAGTAAAGGTTATCAGAACCTAAGTGAGGGAGAGATTGAGTGATAAAAAAAGCATGGATGGCTGCTGTGACTAAGCCCCACACACGGACACACACGGACACACACATACCCGCACACCATACAAGTCTTGCAGGTCTTTGCCTTTAAAAAGATGATAAAAATACATCCTCCCTGTAACGACGAAGAAACCTGCAGACACTCTTCCTGATTGGTCTCTCCGTCTCACACTCACCTCCTAAATCGTCTCTTCGTTGTTTTATCGAGCTTTCCATGATATCAGCCTGTCTGTGTTTTCTCGTGCAGTCATTTGCTCTATTTTTCTGTTTTTTCTTAATTGATGTGTGCTTGCAAAGACAAAGCCGTCTGGGGTTGCTGTGGAAACCAAGTGCCGTGAGCACTTGTGCGGTTATATCGTGTAGTATCATTAAAGAGAATAATGAGCAGGTGTGAAAGAGCGGAAGGGAAATTGAGAAGGAAGCTGAGCTAGGACTACAAAGACACCGTACGCTCCGCCAAAGCAGTCACTACCTTCTGCTTTGGCACAAAGCTTAAACAGAGAGTCAAAGGTACAGACATTTTTCCAATAAAACACTGGGGCTGTTTTTTTCTTATCAAGCATGCAACTTCCTTACAGACTTAAAACGGTGTTTTTACTGTTTTTTGGGTGTTTTTTTTTAAGTAAACACTGCTCCCCTTTTCACCCACCGAGCACAGAGTAGGTGGCTTATTTTAACTAAACCGTCTCCAAGAGATGCCACGCCTCCTCTGTGTCCTTGCATTTGTTAAGTAGCTGTTATAATTAGGGTGGCTAAAAATAGAAATTAGCAAAGAGTGCCACCTGGGCTTTCTTCTCTGGCAAATTGGAGTAATGTGACTGTGTTTTTAAGTTTATTTGGGGCTGGTTATTTTTACCAGAGAAGAGAGAGACTGGCTATAATCTTAAATACCTGGAGTGCTGGAGGGTAAAGATGTTAGAGTGGGGGCTAAATGGCATGTTTTGGGGGGGGGAGGGTTTATTGCATTTTTGAAAAATTAACCAGTTACCTTGGATATAAAACACCTCTCTATTCAAGTAAACCACAACACATCCTCAAATGTAATCGTAAATTTAATCAAATAGCCATTGTTGGGATGAGGACATTTCTTTGCAGCAGACTGGCTTTTTTTTCTTCCTTTTTTTTTTTTTTTTTAAATTAACGGTGACTACAATGAATATCAGTGCACAGCTTCTAAGCAGAGACAAATGGTGTTTATGAAAAGCCATTTATTCTAAAGTTGTATGCAGATTATGCTCATTTGCAGCATGGTTGCTCCATAGTTGAGGTCTCACGGTTCTGAATTACAGAATCACTGGACTCTGAAAATGATAAGCAACAACAGCTTTATAAAACCCTAGAATGACGCCCTCTTTAGAGAAAACATTTTTGTAAGTGTTCTGTTACTGAAATATGAAATATATCTCGTCATCACTGCCATTTGATTAGGAAAGTGTCCGATCTCAAGTGGTACAGCGCAAGCAGTTCTGGATCTGCAACATGCATGTGGCTTTATAACAGTATCTGTGGCATTAGCTGAGTTATCTTTCATTTATTCTTCTTTTTTTTTTAATAGGTTGATCATTAATCATCAAGGCTGGTTTAGGGCTTTTTATTTATTTGTGTATTTCTCAAGCTGACTTTGCTTTATTTTAACCCAGGATCGCGTGTATTGGACAGACTTGGAAGATGAAGCGATATACAGCGCCAACCGACTGACGGGACACGATGTGGCCAAGGTCGCAGAGGACCTTAACAACCCCCTGGACCTAGTGGTGTTTCATGAACAGAGGCAGCCCAAGGGTAAGAAGAAGAAACGCATAGAAGCTTAGCACAGGTGATCTAAGTGGGGCTGTCCCAGATGACCTCAAATAAGTCAAAATGTCCGTTTCGTTTTCAGTCTGTCATACTGCCCAGTCTCTGTCTAGGTGCTGTTTGCCACTCGTAAGCGTGCAGGATCTTGTTCGGTATAATGAGCAGGATTTTGGGGCGTATGTGCACACAGGATACACAAAATCTAACCTCCTTCCTGAGTACAAAGCATTGCATTATCAGCACATAGACACGAGGATCCACTTAGTGAAACGGTCTGAAACAATAAACAGATAATCTGATGAGTGTGATTAGACCGGTGGATGTGACGGGCACGTCAAAACGATGTGTTTGTCTTTTTTTCTTTTTTTTTTGCACTCTCGATGTGTGTGACTGCACGCACGCGTGTGTGCCTGTCAACAGCTCTGCTTGTGAATACCTGGGTGTGTTTGACACTGCGTGCCAGAAATGTGTTTGTGCGAGTGTTTTCATGCTTTGTTTTCTCTCCTCACTCACTGAGCGCTCAGAAGCAATCTTGTCTGTGCGCCAGCAGGCAGCTAATTGCATTCCCTCATTAATAAATCAAGAGTCCTGGTCAAAAAAAGAAATCACAGAATTGGAAAATGTTTTCTCCCAAATGCCAACAAAAGCAAGACAAAACACTGCAAGGCTAAGTGAAGGTGCACCGAGTAGCCCCCCCAAGCACACGAGTAGCATTGATAAGCAAAGTATTTGATAAAATGTGACCTCGACTGCAACGCTTGGTGAGTTCAGACTCCTCTCTGCCCTGTCTTTTAACAATTTATCTTTGTTTCTCTTGCATTTTTGTATCATTTCTTATTTGTTAGTGTACTGCACCTAAGGAAAACCCCAGTGAGGAATATTATCTGTAAGTGTGGTTTGGTACAGTACTGTGCGTCTTCACATATTTCGAGACGCTCAGATGTCTTTCATGTTTATCGACACACTTCCTTAAAAGAGGCTTTCGTCCGATCCTTCCCAAGTTGTGTCTGTTTTATTATTAATTTTTTGTGCGCTCAGTGGGTCTTTGAAGCCTAGGTTCACTCTTCTTAGTTGGAGACCAAAGAGAGGCAGCGCAGGAGGAGAAAGTGACGCTTTTATGGCTTAAAACCAACATAATTTTGTTGTTGTTATCATCTCGGTCCTTCTTTTTTCCTTCTTCATCCTCATCCTCATCATTTTCGTTCACTTTTCTCTTGCCTCCCTCTCTCTCCTCCTCTGTTTTCTTCTTTCCTTCCTACACTCTTCCTTAACCTTTTTTTCCCATCCTCCCCAGTTTGATGACTCCTTCCCAAACCTTTTACCACATTTGGAGCTTTGAGAACTTAGACAGCTGTTCTCATTACATAGTCATTATGCTGAGATACTGTACATCAAGTATAAATGTATTCCCAGCTTATTAAAATCTCACTCTGTGTAGCAAGTGATATTGTTGCTTTTCCTGACAGCTGATGGCGTGCTGCTCTCCAAAGCTACATAAGAAATCAGGAAAGATTGCGACCTGACCTAATTCTCGCGCTTCCCCACATGACACAAAACTGCAGTGTTTTTCCATGAGTCTGCAACTGTGCTTAAGAAACTACATGTAAATTTTTTATTTGGGTTACAGAGATTAAAAGCAGTTGAGACTCTCCTGCATTCACCTACGCATCTCTAAAGTCAGCAAGAGGAAGTGTGTGGAATAAAGATTAGATTCCTAAATCTAGCATCAAACTAGTTAATAGTTTGATGGCAGCAGAAACTTTTTACTGATGAGATACCGGCGCCTACGTGTCAAATTTGATGCTGGTTTTTCTTTTTCTTAGGTTCATCCAGTTTTTCATGTGTTTTTTCTGCAGATTGATGAACCTCAGCATCTGCGAGATGATATAATATATAACATGATTATCCCCAGTCGTGTTACTGACATGTTTCCAGTTAACATAATTAGTTGCAAAATGTTTCTCCAGCTGGTTCTTTTTCATTAGCACTTACTTTTGCAGCCTTTTCTTACCCGTGTCCCAACTTTTTTAAGACTAGTTATTGCCATCAAATTCAAAGTGGCCTTATTTTTTTGTTACAATTGTACATTCTGTAATTTTAAACCTTTGATATATTTTCTTTGTTCTAATTTGAATAAAATTTGGGCTGCTGAGATTTGGGCTTTGTGCAAGTTTGTTTGTTTGTTTTTTTTCCTTTTCCAGTACAGCTCGTTAATAAAACATTTGGGGTTTTATTGTTTTCCAAGAGATAAATGTGTTGCCAAAAGTCTTTTTTAATATTTTTACATTTCTGCCTGTGTTCCCAAAGGTCCCGATACCTGTAATATGGGCACACTGCCTAATGGTGGCTGCGAGTACCTCTGCCTGAAGGCGCCTCAGATCACAGACCACTCCCCCAAGTACACCTGCGCCTGTCCTGACGGCATGGAGCTAGGACCAGACATGAGACGCTGTGCGATCAGTAAGTCTACATTCCACAGGCACACCTGAATGAATGATTCGTGTGGATAAATGTCACATGAGATTCACGCTGCTAGGATCACAGTGAAATTCAGGAGCATTGTTGCCATTCTCAGGGGTCGTTGGCTAACAGTGATCAGTCCAATAGTAAGGCCTGAATTTTCTCCGGTTCCTAAATTCTTTTACGAGCACAAAGAATCCAGGCTAACTTCTCAGCTACTCCATCAGTACAACATAGAACAGCAGTGGTGCACAGCAAGGCTGCAAGAACGAAGCACACAAGTCATTCTATGTATAAGTAAAATTATTTGGAATGAGCTTGTTTCTAAGTCAAACTTAACCTGACAGAAATATTTTGGAAAGACCTGAAGTTCATTTGAATAAACCCACAAACATGCAAGCCGTGTAATACTGGATTAAATTACCAAGAATATTTTTGTCTCATTTATTTATTTGAGTTATGTTCGTCTGTGTGACTAGTGTTAAAGTCTGATCATCTTTTAGGTCATATTTAAGCACAAATATTTAAAATTCTAAATATAAAGCGTTTCTATTTATACTGTTTCTATTTGTCATAATACTTTGGATACTCCAAATACAGTATTTTTCAATGTCTGCAATTTAACAGTACAATGTTTACAAAGCTAAAAGTGCCCTGGATCCTTCAGAGAATCTGAACCTTAAGTGTTGTGTAAAACTATCTTGGGAACTAGGTCAGGGACTCTTCCCTGCACTTCTAACCTACCTCGCTGACCTTATTTCATCAGTCAGCTTGTCCCCCTGCCCTTATAGAGTCACTACATTTGTAACGTTGCTATTTTTACTAGACCTACACCTAATGTCTATATAGGTGAGCTAGGAGGAGCTGACACAGAGAAACGGGGGGAAAGAGACGATGAAGATGTATTGAGGCAATATTTCAAAGAATCCCTGTGAGAGAGGCTGGGAGTAGGTGCAGGGGCAGTGAGTGCATTTGTACCAAAGCTTTTTGGATTCTTAATGTAACACAAACATTTCTGGTGGAAAAACTCACTGGTTTAATTGTGACTGTATTGGATCAAAATTTCAGTTTTACAACCACCAAGAAACACATATCACTTATATTAAAAATAATGTTTAGAAAACACAAACCCGAATGTTATATCAGCAGCAGTGTGTGCACTGGGATTTGTGTAAATCTGATACACCAAAAAAAAAAAAAACAGTGATCAGAGGAAGAGCCTGGGGTGACATGTGGTGTAATTTAGCTTCAGCTAAAATCCCTGACTTGAATACTTCTTTTAGTACATGTAGTACACTATGAACCAAACGTACTGGTGTAGTACATCTGCTTTAACAACGTAGTGTTTTCTCAGATCATTTCTTGTGATGTGATATGATGTTTGCAACAACTGACTGCAACGCTTGCACTAAATTCTGCTTATTATGCGCTTGTGCAACTTATCCATCTGGCAACTTGTTACTTATGAATGTGTGAATGCACTTTAGCACAGTATGTACATAGAAATATCACAGTACCTGTCACGGTACCTATGTGGTGCTGTACAGGACTTTAAAGTGTCACACTTCTGATTAGCAGTAACACAGGCGTTATACCGGACTGCTGTGGTGCACGTGGAAAGCTGAAACGTGAAGCTTTTCATTTACTGATCCATTTATGTCTCAATCCAAACCTGTGGTGTGATGTAAGATCTGCAGACTTCAGTTCAAAGCCTATAAATAAATAATTATGAAATTATGGTCATGAAATCTGAGTAAGATCATGAATACAAGCACCTAAAATGAATTTCCTCTATAAGGTGGTTGGGCTCAGCTTTAGAGATGAGACACTGAGGAGCTTGGACCTCTGGAGGGACCTTAGAGTAGAGCCGCTGCTCCTGCGTATCAAACACACCAGCTGAGCATCTATTTTGGATGCCTCATGGATGCCTCCTTTTGGAGGTTTTGCAGGCGCGCTCCTGGTAGGAGACCCCATGGTAGACCCAGAACCCTCAGAAGAGATTATAGATCAATGGAGGCATTGCTGTTGACTGCAGTTGTATGCTGAATATTGATGCAGAGCTTACAAGTGGAAACGGCTGCAACAGCTGAGCAGTCTGGAGAGAAATCTCAAATCCTACTGGTTGTTTTTCTGTTGCGCAGTTCGACCCCGAACAACCACGACATCTGCCCCCACCGCAACCACAACTTCCACGACGACCACCACAACAAGCACAACAACAACAACTCCCACAACCGTTGCCATGACCACAACGCCCTCTACCACCACCACCACCACCACCACCACCACCACCTCTGCTACTACCACATTACCACCCACAGCCAAGACTACAACACCAGCCCCTCCTCAGACCACCAGGAGCGGCAGAATCACAGCGCACCCTCGGACTCCCGCCGCTACCAGTACAGAGACGACCAGTTTGAGCAGCACTAGTCAGAAGTCCACGTCCACGCACACCCCCTTATTGGCTGCCGTGGCTCCCAACAGCATTCAGAAAGAGAGCAATGCCAACCTCTCCCACAGAGGTAAGTGACATGATGACAGGAATGTGGATGTGTGTAAAGCGAGTGTTTTCTTCTGCTCTGCTACCATCACTGCTGTTACCACCATCATTAAATCAGCAGGAAGCTAAAAACCAATACTTTTATCCCTCCTTTCTCTAGCTTCTCCTCCCCTCCACTTTTCCCTCTGATCATTTGCTTTACTGGCCCTACGACCTCCTCCTCTATTCCTTTTCTCATCTGCTCACACACCCGTCCGAACGCTTCACAGGCCTGCACTATGTCTCGGTCTGCTTACTGTTGATCCCTCGCGACCAGCGTCTTAACAGAAGTGTCAGAGCTAAGAAATGACAGTCCCCTCCATTCTCGCATAAAACTACTCATCACTCATCCTCACTTTCTGACAGCCTCTCTCTTACTCTCTTTGTCTTTATCTCTGTCTTGGTCTCTCCCTCTGTACCTCTCTCCCCTTCTCTCTTTAGCTCTCGCTCGCTCTCTTTCTATAACTGGCAGTGTTCTTCATTCTCGCGCCAATCACGCTTCACTGGCTCGCAAGAAAAATACCACTTTGCAGCCCAGACAAACAGTGACAGCAGACTAACAGCCGTAACAATGGTTTACAAAGCCACGCTAAGAATTAAATTGTACTTGGAAGCGGACGAGAATCCTTGATAGCACCACGCAGCAAAATTGATGAAGCCACCAAATTGTGAGATCAGTATTTTTCAGCAGTTGTTTTGAAAGTCTTCTTAGCTTTTTTACTGCATGGCAATATTAAATTGAGACAGTCAACCTGCCGAGGCAGCTTTTTATTTTGTCTTTTGTTTCTAAGAAAATGAAAAAGGTTCCCTTTTTAATACTGACTCTTTAGATGAATATATATTTATGTCAGATAATGGGCCTGTGCACTATTTAAATGCCCTAAAAGAAAGATTGACACTAAAACACTTATCGTAATACTTGTATATCTTTATGTCATTCTAACAAGTAATTTAGAGGAGAGAAAAAAAGAATTAAAAGAGCAGGTGTTGAGGATGAAAAAAAGCTGTACAGATGGAGAGAAACAGGGAAAGATGATGAAAGTTTTAAGTGGGAGTTGGAGGACAGGGAAATGAATGAGAAACGGAGCAAGGAGTAAAACGAAGGAATGTTAAATGAAAAAAAACAAAAACGTGCAGTGTGAGACAGTAAAGCCACAGAGAACGAAGAGTGAACAGAGAGCGAAAAAGAACATGACAGTCCAGCACTTTAACGGGGAGGATGGGAGTTGTAGATGACACACTGTTGGGAGGAAAGGCGGCATTTACATGGATATGAAACGACGGGATGGAAAAAGAGGCGGGAGAGAAAGTGATTTTCTGGGAATTAAAGAGGTTGCCTGCTGTATTACTTTAGGGGTCGCGGTACTTCAGAGTTACTAAGAGGCGAGAGGCACGTTTCTTCCGGTCTCTGAAGTTGTCAGCCCTCCTCAGCACACCACAAGTGCTCCAGATGAGAGGTGGAGCAGACACAGATGAGAAAAATGGGGCATGAACAAGACGAGTCTCCAAACCCACGGGCCATGTGTTATAATTTTCAACTCGGTGCACACTGTCAAGTTTGCCGGCATCAGCTGTTACACATGTGCGCTGCTGGGGGGAGGGAGGGAGGGCATGGTGGGGCGAGGGAGAACCAGGAGTCTGATTGGGGAGGGCAAAGATTAAACACAGCTGGTAACCAATGTTTTCTTTTGATATCGGTAGTAATTTTGCACATCTTTCAGCGACATTAAAGAAAATTAATTTCAAGATTTTGGGGAAAAAAACAAAAAAAACAGACGTGTGACAGATATGAAAGAGTCTGTAGAAGCCATGATGCTGCCCGTAACATCGTCAGCATGACAGGTTTGGTGGCGGGTTAGTAATGGTCTGGGGGGCACAGACCTCTACAGGCTAGGCAATGGCACCCTGACTGCTATTAGCTCCCAGGATGAAATCCTTGGAGCCAATGTCAGACCCTACACTGGCGCACTTGTTCCTGGGTTCCTTCTGGTGTGCGACAATGCCTGACCTCATGTGATAAAAGTGTGCAGGCAGTTCCAAATCCACTAAAAGACCTCTGGGATGTTATGTTTTGGTTCATCCGATCCTGTATGGTCACACCTCAGACTGTCCAGGAGTTCAGTGAAGCCCTGGTTCAGATCTCCCCGGACACCATCCGTCGTCCTGTTACGAGTGTGCCCCATCTTGGTCAGGGATGTGTACAAGCACATACCATTTTGAGATGCTGCAATGAAATTTCCACAAAACAGCAATAGCATGCTGCATCATTTTTCACTTTGATTTTCAGGGTCTCTTTGAATTCAGCCGTCTGTGGGTTGATCATTTTCATTTCGATGTGGCATCTTCTCATTCCTAACACATTACCCAGTCCATATCAGTACAGATATTGATCTGATGTGTTTTTAAAGTATATTTTTGAGCAGTATATTTACGATATACTGTTTTATTAATCATTGTTAATTGTACTGGATATAGCATTCTAACCCTGACAGTTATATTTAAATAATAAGTGGCAGTAAACGTTTTGATATTAAAATCCCTCCAGTAAGAATGACCCTCCTGAAATTGAGACTTTTGTCCCCTTTTCTTCTTCTTCTCCCTTTCTCAGTGCCCTCCCTTTCTAGAACAGCCTTCTTCCAGAGCAGTTTCTTTAATGAGATTCAGTTAATCTGCCTTTTTGAGTCTTACTGTAGGACCCACTGGACGTCACTCACACTTAAGAAAAGCCAAAATTCGCTTCTGCTGACTCAGAACTCACTGTCTGAAGTCGCTTCACCTTTTGTGGCTCTCGTGTGTGCGCACGTGTGTGCATTTATTTGCATTTCATTCACTATATGATTTAATTTATGAAGAATAATGTGCGTCTGCATTGTCTGTCACATCCGTCACATGCCATCTGTCTCTTTTTGCCAGCCATAGAACTGGAACAGTCACTTTGTCGAATGAGCCAATCAGTATGCAGGGCCAGCACTGTGCTCTCTTGTGTTAATCTTCCTTACCAGACTTCATTATAGCCATCTGATCACACTTTTGGCTAACAGCTAGCCTGCTGCTAATACGAGGGTTGGGAGCGAGATTAATGTCAAAAGCTCCCCCGCCGACCTGTTGGGGTGAGAGCTGAAGGGGAGTAAGGATGCAAAGCATGTCCAGAATAAATGTCTTCTGCATTGCATTGTGACACAGTTTTGAAATGTCTCGTAGAAAAAGAATGGAGTAATGCGAGATCATGTGCTCGTTGCTTATATTCATACAAATTCTGATGCATTGGTTTCTGGAAACGCATTTGTTCCTTCGTGTATTAAAAGGCATCTCACTGCATTTTTATGCCATCCCTGTGTGATTCATTGGCTTTTTCATTTACACATGCTGCTGGGGAAGACAAAGTCAGCAGTCCAAACTGAAATCAGATGGATTCTCTGCCCTTATATTATGCAAATATCCTTTTCCAGCCTTTCTTTTGATGTTCCCGTGTTGAAATCTCTCTTGCTCTCTAGGAGGGCACTTGGTGGGGTTTGAAGCAAAACTTTTTCTTGGTTTGATTCTCTTTTTTCTTGTCTTCCATCTTTCTGTTCATCTCAGCTGCGAGTGATCACTACCTCATAGGTAACAACATCACAGTAGCTGTTCTGGGGATAGTCATTCCTATCGGTGAGTACTGTTGACTCCCTCACTGTGTTGTCTTTGCTTTCTGCTTGCCTGCCTCTCCCTCCTCGCTCCTTCAAGTCTGCTTAACTGCATGTTGCGTGCGTTTTGTTGTTAATGTGTGTGCGTGTGAGTATGAGGTTATGTGTGCGTGTGCCTGGGTTTAAGGATGTTTGCGTTTCCACCTGGCTGATTAAATCTAAAACATTCTCATTAAAATAATAACAATTCAACACATTATATCTGGTTCAATAGTGAGATTCAGGCATAAAATTGTATCGCATCTATTGAAAAAATGTACTGAGGTATGGTATTATCCAGCAACATCCTCGTGGCCTATGGCTAGAAAAAGCCATTACATGGAAGTGAGCCCCTCTGTCAGTAAACGGCCAGGCCGCTGTAATATGCACATTATGTCATTATTAATGACATTTGAGCAAATGTGAAATTCAATTCAGGTTTTGTCATCACACGACCAGCTGTTAGTACATTTTGCTCGTGTTCACCGCTCTGATCAGATCGTATCAATCAGGCCAACGTTCTGACCTATTTCTGTGACCGAGCGGACTAAGAGTGGGTTATACCGCTTTACGGGAGACGAGGGGAGAGAAAAGTGGATTAATGCCATGAAATTGTGTTTTTGGCCTGGAGCAGGAAGCTAATGACCTCAGACATAATGCTGTTGTCTGTTTAGGCAATGAAACATAAAGAGAAAACCATCAAGCCGCCTCTACAAAGGCAGAAAAAGGCAATTGTAGTTCTTTCAATCAAACCGGCTTAGAAAAGTTAATCTACTCTATTAGCTCCGATTAAAATGAAAATCGAATTTTATGGAAATATTTCATACTTTCATGCCCAACGTGACTGGGAAATCAGCTGAATGTGCAAATGGCCTCATAGTGGCAGCATATGCCACTAATTGAGATCTCTTTCATCCCTAATATTAACAAGTTTGATAATTCAGGGGAGCGCTAAAAGATTGTAAAGCTATTTTTTTTCTCTTTTCAGTCTCTATAGTTGAAATATCAGCTCATTAAAATAACCCTGGAGACTATTAACCCTTTCCGCTTTATCCTTTTTTTGTCCTTCTCCCATTTATTGCCACCACAAATCTTTTTTTTTTTTTTAGCAGCTTTGAAACATTAATGTTGGAGGTCCACACGGGCTGGATTTCTGCACCCCAGCTCTCCGCTCATACCCAGCAATGCACCACACCCACCCACAGCTCCATAAGGGGAATCAGCCCAGCAATGATTATCAGTTTTAGCCAAAGACAGGCTGTTTTGCCACTCGCTCATTGGAGATAAATTTTCTAAATGAGAGGAAAGCTGATGGTTTTTTTTTGTTTTTTTTCCCTTTAAACCATTGAGCATTTAGAGAAGAACAAAGGAGGAGCTGGGGTTTCCAACCCAGCCACGAAGGAATCTCAAGTGTCTATCTAATAAAGTCGCAATTAGACAGGCGTACTGTAGCGTAGGAAAACACATCTATGAATGCAGGCACACATATCCAAACCTCCTTGACTTACCTCTGATTTGGGTGTTTGCGCTTTCATTATACAAAAACTCTAAAGCATGCACTGTACACTTCACACACACACAGGTCCTTGCAGGGCAGTTATGCTGATATGGTAATGAAAGAGGAGAGACGGCGCTTATCTCAAATCCTCCAAATCCCAACCCTTTCCCCGTCTTCTCTCCTCCTCTTACCCTCTTCTTATTCTCCTCCCACAACCCCATCCGGACACTCCAGATATTAATTTTTCGGTGCAATAAAATACAAAATTATAAATCATTGCCCAAAATTCTGTTTTTTGAGCAATTCGCAATAGGATTATATGCTGATGACAATTAAGCAACCTTGTGGGGCTTTTATTCAAAAACAAGGTCGCAATCAGTGTCTTCAGGGCTTGAATGGTTACAGATTTAATATAAAATGCCAGTTTGGTTCAGTGTGCCCACGTGTGTGTGTGTGTTGGAATGATGTGTGTACCGTGCAGACATTTATGTTGCATATTGTGTGTGCATGTTTTTGATCGTTTCGTGACACTGAGGGGGGGATATAATGCAATGAATGATTAGTTCCTCTTTGAAGGCTCATTGTTTCTCTAATAAATGCTTAGATTTTTTAAAATGCAGATACAGAAGACATACGGGGGATGAAACATAAAAAGCTCAGCCCACTAAATTTATAGAAACGGATGCATAAAGTGCCACCAGTTTTTCTAACAGTTTCAGAAAAGTGGACTGCTTCCCCTTCAGGTTCATCTCCTTGTGCACCTCTGGACGTTTTCCAGAAGGCGAATATTTCCATGTTTTTTTTTGTTGTTTGTTTTGTTTTGTTTTTAAAATTTTTGAGAAGCTGTTATGCAAACAACATTTCAAAAACCAAAACTGAAAAATAATGAGCCTTCAGGTGAACAGTGCAACGTGTGTTTGTGCGTGAGTGCTTAAAGCGCCGCTCTGTGTCCCCCGGGCTGTGTTAACGCTCCCGCCGTGTGTTGTTGTTGTGTGTGTGTTAAACACATGCAGTCCCTATCCTTGCCACAGTGGTCATCGGATTGCTCTGCACCGGTGGATACCTGGTCTGGCGCAACTGGCGGCGCAAGAACACCAAGAGCATGAACTTCGACAACCCAGTGTACCGCAAAACCACAGAGGATGACGACGACGAAATCCACATCGGGCGTCAGAGCGAGTCCATCGGTCACGTCTACCCAGCAGTGAGTGGCAGCCACAGTCAGCCATTCATAGCGCTTCCTCTAGGGGGCGGCGTCACAGACAACAACTCTCACTGGTATTCGGGGGCGCCGATGCTCTCGAACGCTAAGTGAGAGGTACTGCGGAGGAAAGGAAGAGGTGTGAAATATTTGTAAAATGGGAGTTGGCACGAGGGTTTGGAAAAGCCCGTTTTCTTGTACATGTCAGCCTGGTGGAAAGAAAGAACAGGCTCGCACACGTTCACATATCATTTTATTTCTTTATGTTTTTGAAGTAATTACCGAACACACCTGTCACGCGTACACGTAAACCCTCGACACACATTTCGTTCACCTTCAGCGACCATATTCATGCGATACATCCCTGCTGCCGACCCGCCATCCCATTTATTTGTGCATCGTGTTAGTGTTTTTGGTTGTTGAAGTGAGTGATCCCCATTTCCTGACAAAACCCTTGTGCACAGGCAAAGCATTATTCCTTTGCTTCAGACACGTTCAGCAGCCAAGAAATCATGATTAGTGTAGATGAGATGCAAAAAAAGAGAGGTGAAAGAGGAGTTGCTCTATAGCCACTGCTCACAAATAAATTGGACATGTAGAGTAGATAGTTGCGTCATAGCATTGAACTAATGCGATTTTGTTTTGAGGTCACACAAAATTTGAAAAAAGGAGCACAAATCAGGATGAAGGACTCTCTCGAAATACAATTTATCTTGCAGAAACCATAAATCTCAGCAACGCAATTTCAGGATTACCCTGATGACTTCCCATTGATGTATATGCAGTTTTAAAAGTCACTGGAAGCGGCATTTTCTACAAACTCTGGATACAGCGGCAGCTGCAACACGTAGCAGTAAAGTAAAATGCCCTTAAATCCAGACTGTGCGTCATTAGGAGTTTATGACATTTACCGAATATGCTTCTTGTTTTGGGTGTCAGAGAGCGAGCGGCGAAGGGCAGCCAAAAAGCATAAAGGAGGGAGGGCGAGACGGGAGTCTAGCGCTTTGATCTGTTGGCATGGTAACACAGATTTCTTTGTGTCACCCCGGAGAGAAAGAAGGCAAAGAATTCTGGGTATCACTGGCATGATGACAGGCGGGAAGCACGCTCAGACAGACACTGAAACAGGTGCACGACTGAGTCATATTAAGATTCAAGGTCGAAGTAACAACCTACCCTCGCAGAACGAGAGAGGGGGCTTTACTCCTTCTCTCTCGTTTTCCCAGTTTTATTACAAACATTTGTACAAATCTTATGTATTGCCTTTTATCTCTTTAGTGGTTTTCTTCCTCTTCTTTTCTCGTCCTAACTTTTTCTTGCCCTTTGTCTCAGTGTGGCAGCTCGGGCAGCCAGAGAAATCAGGCTTGCATTATGTGGGCCAGACTTTCGCAACCGTAGGCAGGCAGCCTGCATTCCTCGCTACGAGCAGCCAGGGAAGGAGGGGACAAACAACACGTTGGGGGGGGGGGGCTGAATTGGAAAGAAACGAAGACGAAGGTTGGGGAGAGGAGGCAGAATAGTGAGAGGGCATCACATAACAAAGCTGCCATTTTTCTTCTGGGTTCCACCTAGACTGGAATCTTGTCTCCCTTTCTCCTCTTTTTCCACTGAGCTTCTCTATTTTCATTCCCCGCTGTTCTATCTCACTTCCTTCTCCTTAACCAGCCTGTTGTGGTAACGGTCTTTTTATCTGCTGTTTGCAGCGCGTGGCACTCAGTCTGGAGGATGATGGCTATCCCTGAGGGAGGAGGGGGATGCAGCCTGCACCCCTGCGCTCCCATACTGGCCCCCTCCTCTCACCACAGCCTCTAGACCACTACAATGAGGCCAGTACAACGCAGAGGAGAAAAGAAAAGGAGACCTCATTTTGCCTCCCTGTTTTTAAAGAGCAGGGATGACATGTACACCTGTTAAAGCCCACCTCCATCTCCTACCGTCTCCACTGGAGTAACACTACTACCATTATTAGCTACTACTACTACTATTAGTTTAGTAGCCTTGCTCCACTCCTCTCTTCTCTCTGCCTCTTGTTAGCACCAGTGCTGCTCAAAATGCTGCTTGATGATGATATTGTCCATACTAACCTCATTCAGCTGTCTCAGTGCACTTTGTAAATAAAAGGATTTCTGGCTGCCGTGCAAGCAGGAGAAGGCGGCGTGCATCATTTTAAATTCCTCGTGCTTTCACTGTATTTATTTCTGTTGCGTTTGCTGTTGTAAATATGTGACCAGCACCTCTCAGTGCACAGCACGAAAGACAAGTTTGGAAGGATGGTGCAGTACAGTGGCAAGCAAGGACGCTGTATTTCTTCATTGTCATGTAAAGAGACCTTTTTGAAGGGGTTTGTTGCAGGGGGGTGTCATCCTTTTTCACACCTAGTCCCTCAAATTTGCCCTTTCACTTACTGTAAAGCTAAATATAGCCAAGGAGAGGAAAACTGATGGGGTCGTCGTACATTTAGAGGTGATTTTGGGGATAAAGGAGACTTTTTTCTTTCTTTTTTTTTTCCTTTGCAATTGGAGGGTTTGTGCTACCAGAGGGTAGTGCCTCAAGGCTGAAAGCAGCAGGGTAGAAAAGGCAAAGGATTATGGGTAATCCCCTGGCCTCTGCCATCAGAGGTGTACATACAGTCAATAATGAACTTGGGATTGTTTTCCTGTTTGCACTGAGTAGCAAGAATCCCACATGTGTTTCTGAGTCTTCATTTGCATCTGCCAGCGTCAATATTCTAGCAGCGAGAACATATTCTTTTGAATTGATGCAGGGAATTGGATGTTAAATAGTTGTTTAGTGATCAGATTTAAAAACATGTAAGTGCATGCTGCACTTGCTGTATGGGAATCCTGGAGGAAATGAAGAGTGAGATGACAAGCTCATCACAGCAAGAAAACACAGAGGTGTTTGACTTTGAGTGACCCCTTAAACATCAGTCCCAGCTGGAGTTTTTTGTTTGTTTGTTTTTTGGGATGAGGTGGGGTGGGGGGCTACCTTTACTCCCCCTTTTTAACAATGCAGCTGTGTGTTTTCTGGATGTGATGCTGTATTTCTTATGTCTTGTCACCGTCTCTGTGCGGTGCGCAGATGAGTAACACACCGAGGCCGACTGAGTTGAGCGCTGATTTGAAAAATGGGACCTGATCTTCCTTGGCTTGCTTCGAACCAGCTTCCAGCCTATTGAATCAGTTGCGATTCATGCCAATGAATATTGTAATAATTGCTCATCTTGTGCTGGAATAGGGAATCACTAGAGGCCGCGATGACAGAATAGCAGAACTGTTACAAGTAGTCGAGGCAAATTGCCAGCGTTCTTATTCAGGATATCGTTTAGTGTCCTAATTGAAAATTTGACAGTTTTAAGCACAGTTAAAACACATTATATACTCTGTAAGGCAGTTTTGGATGGTCTAAACTATAAATACATGAAACACTCGTCTTCCATTCTTGCCTAATGAATCTGATCAATGCTGCATGTAAGATCCTACATATTGGACTAGTAAATCCAATATGACTAAATAACACACACACGCACACAAAAGTTCCCAATGCAAATGTTAAAGTCTTCCATCCTAGACTCAGTACGGTCTCAGATTATGTATTCATGCAACAGTTGATTAATGACGGTTATTATTCATGGATTTCACTATTTCTTGGAAGGCTTAGCTTCAGCGTAGAAGCTCAGATAACCACGAGGGAGGAACAGAAAGGCAAGGAAAACAAAGATGAAAGGTGGTGTAGGGCTTGACTGCCAGAATTTATACGCCGCCATATGTGAGCAGGTTTGTACTTGGAAGATGAACGGTGGGTCGTTTGTTTTCCCGGATTTCTGCCAGTGTTGGCATCGCTGTATTCTGACAGTCGCTCCTCTCGCCTCCCTCGAAAGGATGGCACTCTCTCCTCTCAGTTTATGAAGCACAGTTGTGTGAACTGTGTGTGACAAGTAGCAAGCTAGACAGGTAAATTGTAGTCCTCTCCAGCAGCGCGCTCCCCCTACATCCATCTAAACGGAGGAGGATCGAGCGCAAGGGGGAGGCCATCTCCCTTCATCTTCACCTTGTACAGATGAAGCAAAATGTAATGCACTGCACAGTGGGGAAGATTGGGACTCCACTCAGCATGACGTTAGACTGGTTTGTTAGTTTCCACCAGTGACTGCTTTTTAGGCCTTTAAGAATTGACATATATTGAACAGATTTGACTAAACACTGAAAACAATGATGTAGATTAGCCACTGCAGTTTTCATGCGTATAGGATCCAGTTCCCAAAGGAGAGATTAGGTAGTGATGGAAAAATCTGCATGTAAGCTATCTTTGTGAATTTAAGATTAAATAAATCACAGCTCCCTGAGCTGAGTCAGCTCTGCGTGCCAACACTTTCCTTCATGTCCATGTTTGCTTCAGGTCTAATCGAGTTCCATGCTGGAGGTGGGGGGTGCAGGTAGGAGAATAAATTGCTTATTTATTGAGGTGTAGGAAACTTATTATGGCTACAGTGTGAAGACAGATTGGCTGGTCCACTGTGTGGTCACCTCAAGAACATTCGTCTATTCTGAAGGACATTGAAAGAAGTCCGGAACGGTTCTTTGTCTGTAACTATTCAAGGTAGTAATTGTAGTGGCAATGGAGGGCTTACTGTGACCATAGGCTCTCTAGACATCTGCTTCACTGTTGTTCCATATTTACAAGACTATTAAGGGACTAACCACTGGTGTGATGTCGGCTATATCAGCTTTTTTCCTCTAGGTCAGATAAGCTTAGAGTGCACTGGGTCACTATTTGTTTTTTTAGTTCAGTGTTGATCTAGTAATCGCTGCTTTAGAGAACAAAGTGCAACATTATAAACGATACTGTGAGTTCTTTAACAATTAATGGGGAAATATACTGCACTAAAATGAACTTTTTCCTTGTAGACTGTGTTTACTGAATTGAAAATGTTGATGTACGTCTAAAAATGTCTTGCTAGTAAACTTGAAATCTTTGAGAAAAATGAGTTAATTAAATGAGTTGGTCTTGGCATTGTTGTGTTGTATGGATTTCTGAGTTACTGGAACTCACTACCTTTTGTTGAAGGAAGAAAACAGGGTACATTTGTTCTGGTGAAGTGAACGCTTTGCTATTTTACTTTTAACACAGAATCAATGCTGTCACCTAGAAATGACATTTATATGGTACTTAATACTAAAATGTTATCTGAAAGGCCGATTTTATTGGTTGATGTTGCATAGTTTGTCCACTAGAGGGCGCGTCGCAACTTCCCTGTTGGCAGTACTGCCACACACGCAACAAGCAGCAGATCCAAACAACATCAGGCAGTGTGTAAATGAGTAAACAACTACAGCTGATATGAGTACATCAAATTTAAATCAGCAATTTTGACTATTGGTTTTAAGAATTAAGAATTCTATATCGTTCAGACACTTGTAGATGCTAGGTTGTTTTGTCTTTTTGTTTTGTTTGTCTTTGAAGGAGAATACATTATACTTATATACCACGCCCAACCAGAATTGGCAATCAGATGTTCAAGGTTAACAGATGGCATACAAAACAACAGAAGAGCTATTTTCCTTTCTGTTTTAGAGCTTTTAGTTGACTGCTGCTCAAACAGCTCTCACCTACAGTCCAAATAGAAACCAGAGCTAATATTTACATATATCATATCAGAACTATATAAAAGGACTAATATGGTCCCTTTATATGTATAGACGCCTACAGCTACTACATATAAAATGTGTTGCTAGAGACTGTGTTTTGCTTCAGTGTAGTTTCTAGGTGACAGGATTGAAATAAATATATGTTGTTATTTTAACTATGTAGAATGCATACTGTTTACACCAGCAAAAGCATATGTATAGGCATATTTATAATATTTAACTCCTTGATATTTAACTCTATTTAACTCGTTCACTGATTGAGAAAACAAATATTCAGAACAATCCCAATGGACACCTTAAGTGCATAAACTGTGCAAATTGTTACTAAATCGAGGGAGGAAGTTGTTGCTTGTTATCAGCGTAAATAGTAAATACTAACAGTCCTGAAAACCCCGATACAGTCTTCCTGATCTGTGCTCTCCATTTTATCGTACTGTTGCTTGTCTTTTCCTTTTCTGAGCGGAGACCTTACGTTGCTTTAACCACAATGCTCTTCTCACATTGCTCCACCGCTTCATCTCCTCGAGCACTGTATCAAATGTAATTCCAACTGTGAGTTTTAAAGTGTTTCTTTGGCTGTCGCACTGTTGAATTTTAGCTTCGAGGGCAAAGTCCACGCTGTTGTTTCTGTGCACTCTCATTCGCTTGCAACCCTCTCATCTTCATCTCACCCATGAACATCTTTCCTTTGGCAAGGGCTCTCAGTCTTTGGGTAGACAGGCACACAGTGGAAGAATTAAAGAAAAAGAAAACACTGGAGGAAATAACCTGAAACAACAACAAAAATAATAAGGAAGTCCCCAGAGATAGAAAGAAAAATGTGAACCAGCAAACCGGTGAACAATCACACTCAGCTTGGAGAAGCGGCCTCCCCCTTGAGCTACAGTTTTGGACTGTGGAAGGAACCCTCAGTGACTCTACTTGGATGGCACTTAGCTTTTGTTGACCCAGTGACTTTCCTCGATACACTGACTCCTCTATTTGTTATGTGGGGAGGTTTTTTTTGGACTGTGTAAGTGAGTTGTAGTTGTTGCTCTCCTCCTTTCTCTGTCTCTCCCTCTCTATCTCCTCATCAGACTATTTCTAGTTTCATGTGTAATCTACTTGATGTTTGATTACTTGAAGGGGCAGCATTCAGTTGCCTAGATTTTTCGAGCACTCTGTGTAAAATGAAGGCTTTCGGGAAAGAAGGTGATCTTTGTGTAAATCTTTTCATGGCTCGGGATGATGATGATGATGATGATATGTACAGGGGGAACGTTTTGATACGTTTTTATGGTCCTTCCACAGTCAATCAAGATGAAGAAATTGAAAGAAAATCTAAGGCTCCAGATTTTTTTTTTTTTTTTGGCAAAACTGTCCACCTACATTTTCTCAGAAATCTTGCTGATATGTCTTTGTCTGCAAGGAAAGATAAAAAAGAAAAGAAAAGGAAAAGGAAAAAAAAACATTCGGGCCTCTAACCATTCCTCAGCCATAAGACAGGCATTTTTTCTTTATGCTGTTTGTTGCACAAAACTTTTCAAAAAGCCTTCTGCACTGTGTAAAGAAATAACGTTCTTTGTAAGGGAGGAAATAAAAGTGTGGTGGGGTTGGGGCTCAAGGGGGGTGTCCAGTGGTACAGTCCAGTGGTTTTGAATCCTGACTTGTAAATAATACGTTTTCATACTGCAGAAATCTTTTGATAATGTTTTAAATGTATCTGTAAAAACAACAACAGCGGCAAAAAAACGGAGAAAAAAGATGTACATAAACTTTTGGGGTAAAAGGAGTGTAGACGATGTATGAATTTATTTGTACACGCGAGCACTGGATTTCTTTACTACTTGATTGTAACTAAAATTTAATAATCTGCCAAAGTGTTCCTGTATTACTTTCACTTCCATTTGTTCGTTTCTGTTTTACTCTCCTGCTTTTTAACAGCAACGCGGATTTTTAGAGTTTCCACTGTATTTAATTCTGTTTAAATTTAATTCGTCTTTTGTTAGTTTGGTTTTTTTTGGGGGGGGGGGGTTTTTTTTTTTTTTTTTTTTTAAGGGGGGGGGGGGGGGGGGAAGGAGGAGGAATCATTTTAATTTATTGGTGCCTTGTTTTGTGCTCCTGTACACTTCTACTCTGTTTTTCTGTCTTCTGTGTCTGTTTGAGGGAGGGGGTGGGGTGGGGGTGGGGGGCTGGGGGGTTAACTGGGGGGGGTTGTTGGGGGGAGTGTTGACAACTTAGCAACTTCTGTACTTACATTGAATATCTGTACTGTATGCCAAAATGGTCTCACTCACGTTTCTATGAAATCAAGCTGTTGATAAATATCTCTATATATTGATATATTAAATTTATAAAAACTGTCCAACCCTTTAGTGTGAATACTGTTTTCATTTGTATTTGTTTGTCTTTCTGTATGGGCTGACAACTTGTGCAGGCTGTGAAAGCTACTGTAGGTTGCAGCATAATGTATTAATCAAATTTATTACTCTCACTCTTCTTTGCAACTTTTCCTAACACTAGTTTCATCCATCCATCCATTCGCTTCCACTTATCCTTTTCAGGATCGTGGGGGGCGCTGGAGCTTATCCCAGCTGTCATAGGGCGAGAGGCGGAGTACTCCCTGGACAGGTCGCCGGTCTGTCGCAGGGCTAACACACAGAGACAGGCAACCATTCGCACTCACATTCACTCATTCAAAAGTAAATGTCTTAAAACATCTTGACTCTAGGATTAGAAAACTTTACTGAGGATTAATGTGCAGCTCCAAAAAGTAAATAAAGGAACACTTAGAAACACATCAGATCATGCTGGATGTCTATACTGACGTGAACTGCGTAATGTGTTAGGAATCAAAGGATGCCACATGGTTTAATGGCATCCCAGGTGATTCTTTTTTGGTTTTTGTGGGTTTTTTGGCCCTCACATGCTGGTATGCATGCCTGACAATGCTGGTGTGACCAGGGTATCGCCAACCTCTTGGATAGTCTGCAGTGCAACCTGGCAATGTTGGATGGATCGAAACATCCCAGTCAGTGGTATTAATACCCTTCCTGCAGTAACTGCATGCATGCTCTCGCCACACGGGGACAGGTATTGTTGTACAGGAGGAATCAATTGGAACAGAGTAGTGTTTGAATAGTACAGGGCATCAGTGGTAGACCTGACAATTCTGCACAGGGCCTCCTAAAACTTTTTTTTTTTCACACCAGTGACCTGCTGGAGGTCATTTTGTCACACTAGTAGTGCTCATTTTGTTCCTCCTTGAACAAAGGTCCAAATACCGCTCCTGCTAAGGGGTTAAGGATCTTCTGAAGCCTGTTCCAGCTCTCCTAGAGTAACTGTCTGTCTCCTGGAATCTCCTCCATGCTCTTGAGACTATGTTGGGAGTCGGACTACGTGTGCAACCTCAGCAGGGTTCAGATATTGCCTCATCCTCCCAACAGAGACAGTGACCATAGCCAAATGCAAAACTTGTGAAAAAACAGCCAGAAACAATGATTAGGGACAAAATCTCAGTGACCTCCACCTGTAAAACAATTCCTGTTTTGGGGGTTGTCTCATTGTTGCCCCTCTAGTGCACCTGTTTTTAATTTCAATAACAACAAAGCAACTGAAACAAATTTTAAAATGACCCTGTGGTTTTAGGACAATAAATCATCTTTCTGCAAAAACAGCACTTGCCAGAAAATTTAAGTGCTTATAATCAAAGATGTTTTTCTAACCACC